AAAAAGTAAATAACATCTGCCTATTGAACACATTTCGTGTATGAAAGTGGCTATTTCACCCATCTAAATGGTTGTATTATTTGGAGGGATGGTTGAGATTCTTCTTAACGAATAGAAAATGACGTCCAAGTGTCCAAAAATAGGCAGAAGTTCATCGTTAACTTAACATAATTGTTCTCTTCCAGATTGACCTGATGCCCCATGATGTAATCACCCAGCTGTTACGTGTCCTTGCTATAGATACCAAACAAGAGAAAGCCATCATTAATGCAGAGCCCACAGAGGTGTCACTTAGCGGCCTGGAGGCTTTCTCCTTCGACTACATCGTCAAGTGGCCACTTTCACTCATAATCAACAGGTACAGTTTTCCTATATGGCTGGATAGCTTTCATTTAAAGCAGCTTCAGCTTGGGATTGTTGCTGTGCCCCTGTGCCTCTTAAAGGAACTGTTTTGTCATCATGTACCCTTCACATGTTGTTCCAAACCTGTATTCCATGCAATTAAAGTGTGGTCACATTTACTGTTGTTCGGCGAATTTTCGCTGGGGGAAATCCAGTCATTGCGATAAGAATCCATGGGATCAGAAATGTCTCACATTACACACTACGCAATCGGAAATGCACATTCCCATGTACATTTAACCAGTGAGGGCAAAATATATCCCTATGTAGATGTTTCAGTAGGTTCAAGTAACTCGCATGAATTTGCTGTTGACCAACAGAAAGCTGCTTGGTTTGAAAGTGACTTCTGTGTGAGCTGTGCTTCATACATTGCAACAGTATTTACACATTGGGACTGGAACTTTACAATGAACTACTCCTTAAAAACAATGCTCTGTTGTGCAGGAAAGCCCTGACAAGATACCAGATGCTCTTCAGGCACATGTTCTACTGCAAGCATGTGGAGAGGCTGCTCTGTAATGTGTGGATCAGCAATAAAACAGCTAAGCAATATTCACTTCACTCTGCTAAATGGTGAGACTACATATATTTAGTTTATGTCTTGGACTTTTAGTTTTAGTCTGTGTATCTTCAAGTGAGCTCTTGTTGATTGTAGGTTTGCTGCGGCCTTTGCATTAAGACAACGGATGCTCAACTTTGTTCAGAACATTCAGTACTACATGATGTTTGAGGTTATGGAGCCCACGTGGCACATCATGGAGAACAACTTGAAGTCTGTGAGTCAATGAGTCAATCTATCTGTCTAAATTTATATATGTTTAGAAAGAGATTTATAATATATAATTAATTGAAAATGAATTCACTGTGTGTGCTTAAATCACTTGTCGTTTTTAGGCCTCCAACATTGACGACGTGCTGTGTCATCACACCAGTTTCCTGGATAACTGTCTGAAGGACTGTATGCTCACCAATCCTGAGCTGCTTCGGATCTTCTCCAAGCTCATGTCTGTCTGTGTCATGTTCACCAACTGCATGCAGGTAAAAATACAGACATTGTGGAGAAAGAACTAAAAGTACTAAAAGTACTAAAAACTTGTTATCATTCAAATGTTTGCAGTCAGTAAGATTTATTTAAATGTTTTTGAAAGTCTCTTATGCCTACCATGGCTGCCTGCATTTGATCAAAAGTACAGTAAATATTGTGAAATATTATTACACTTAAAACAATTGTTTTCTATTTGAATACATTTTAAAATGTAATTTATTCCTGTGATGCAAAGCTGAATTTTCAGCATCATTACTCCAGTCTTCAGTGTCACACGATCCTTCAGAAATCTTTCTAATAAGATGATTTGGTGCTCAAAAGCATTTACTATTATTAGCTATGTTTAAAATAATTGTACTGCTTAATATTTTTGTGGAAACCGTAATACATTTTTTATATGCTGAATAGAAAGTTAAGATTTAGTTCAAATAAACATTTACTTATAGAAAAATATTAATCTTTTCTAACATTCTAAATGCCTTTACTGTCACTTTTTTGATCATGCATTCTTGCTTAATAAAAGAAAAGTATTAATTAATTTAAAAATAATAATAATAATCTTACTGACCCCAAACTTTTGAATGGTAGTGTACATAATTAGAATATAGATCTTCTAGTTTAGAATATAGAACTTATTTTTTTGTTTTGATATTTAATTATATAGTTTATTCTTTAATGTCAGGATGATGCTGGAGAGTTCATGTTGATTGTTTTGCAGCGGTTCACTCAGAGCATGAGGATAGACAGCGAGATGAAGGCGGAACGGACAGACGAGGCAGAGAAAAAAAGACTGGCCACTAAAGTGAGTCACTGGCATTTAATCAGTAATTGTACAATACCGGAAATAAAAAAGCTTTTTAAAAACGGACTGTGTCATCACTCACGCCGAAATCTTCCAAAAGATAGTAAACCACAAACAAATGAATCTTTTTTTATGTTATCTATTTGTCTTTATCTCAGTTCTTAGCTGAGTATGTGGATGCCCTCCAGTCTGACTCAGGGTTTGAGGGGACCATCAGCAAGTTTGACAGTAACTTCAGCACCTTATTGCTGGATCTTTTGGATAAGCTCAGCATTTACAGCACCAATGACTGTGAACACAGCATGATCAACATCATCTACAGGTGGGTTGTGGAAGGAACCTTTCAGTAAATCTTAAATGTATTAGTGCTTACTGATTTAAGGCTGATTTACACTTCTGCGTCGGACCTACGCCGGAGCCTCTACGCTGTAGACTACGCGTTGGTTTTAATTTATACTTCTGCGTCGTTGTCCGCATTGATGCACGCAGAGGGAACATGTGAAACCCGAGGGAGCGGTTCTAGCAGACCAATCACAGCGCTTGCGTGCGCATAAAATTGACGCGTTGTTACATTTTTGGAGAGGTGCGCGTTAGGGTATGCCGAAGGGTACGCGCGTTACACACAGCCTACGACGTAGCTACGGCATGAGTTCGACGCAGAAGTATAAATTGGGCTTTAACCTGGTCTTAAAGGGATAGTTCACCTAAAAATGAAAATTCTGTCATTAATTACTCACCCTCATGTCGTTCCAAACCCGTAAGACTCATTCATCTTCAGAACACAAATGAAGATCTTTTTGAAAAAATCTGAGAGCTTTCTGTCCCTCCATAGACAGCTACACAACTAACACTTTGATACTTCAAAAGTTCATTAAGATATCGTAAAACTAAACTATATGAATTGAACGGTTTAGTCTAAATTTTCTGCATGATGGCTTTATATGATGAACAGATTTAATTTAGGCTTTTATTCACATTATTCAAGCGTCAAAGTGGTAGTTGTGTAGCTTTCAATTGAGGGAAGGAATGCTCTCAGATTTCATCAAAAAGATCTTCATTTGCATTCCAAAGATGAACGAAATCTTACGGGGTTGGAATGACATGAGAATGAATAATTAATTACAGAATTTTCTTTTTTTTGGGGGTGAACTATCCTTTTAATAGTGATAATAGAAATGTGTAGCACAAGCTTTTGAAATCCCTTACTATTTAAGAGCTTAGACAATCCTCATTTAAATTCAGTCTTGAAGGTTTGATGAATAATGAGATTTTTTTTTTATAGGCTGGACTTCAATGGCTTTTACACAGAGAGACTGGAGCGAATGGCCATTGAAAGGAGCCAGAAGACTGCATCATAGCATTGTCCATCTTAAAATCTTCTGTGTTTTAAAAGTGTTCAATGTACTACTATTACCTGGTGCTGTAACAAAGCACTTAAGAATTTCCCCTCTCTATTGGAAATGTATTTAATAGTCTTATACAAATTCCACCTGACTAAAAACCCAATATAATAAAGTAAAAATTTTGCTAATATTTGGTTTTCTCTGCCTCTTATTCTAAACCCAGATTACTTTCATAAACTTATTTTGACTAACAAGAGAAGGCGTGCTCACAGTGTGCTCATAGTATTTACATGATGCTATACTTGAATATGTCTCTGACAGGTATTGGATGATCCAGATACAAACTTTTCCAGATGACCAAATCCAAATTATTACCAGTGCTCGAAATGGGACTACATATGACAATGTTGGCTACTAGCTAGCTATTTATCTAATTTATCAATCTAACAGTTAAATCAAGTGTGAACTATAAATGTGTATATATAGTGATCCAAACGTTGCATTATTTGACCAGTTTTCAGGTTTATACATTTTGTTCCTGAAATCCACCCTTCTCTTGGTATTTTAAGATGAAAAGTATCCCAGTTCTACTAAAATGTTTTGGACAACACGTGCTGAAGGTTTGATCCAGATCAAAACCAAGACTGAATTCATCTAATCCAATTTCATAATATATATTTTTCTTCCAAACAACTAATTTTCTGAATTTAATTCAATCCGATATGTGAAATCTGATCAAATTCATTTTGACCAAATTGGTTGAGTGGATTATTCAGTTACTAATAATACAGATAAAGATGCCAATTGCTGGCAGTATTATGTAATTTAAACTGCAGAAAAACTAATTAAAACAGACTTCCAGCCAGTCTGGTCTGAACGCGTAAACGGGCACAAGCGGAGGGATACAAACAATAGAAGTGTTCCGCCCATATGGGACGCCGCTCGGCCAATCAAATTCGAGGACTGCAACTAAAAGTTAGGGTTTGAAGACTGAAGAGTGATGCCATCAAGCCGCACAAAAATCTCCTCAACTCAAGTGTGCAGAATCTGAACCCAGGCTCGCTGAAGGTAGTAGAAGAATGAATGATGTCCAATTACTTATCCCTCATAACATACACCACACCCAAATCCTTTACAATATGACGGTATGTTCATTTGATGTGTACAACTCTAAGTTGATCTATGTGATTCGTTCAATGCACTGCTAGGTGGCGCTTGTGTCTCATCTCTTAAACTTTAAAATGACTGAGATTATAATTTTACGTGTATTTGGGCAAGCATGCAGGCAATATTCTTTATGTTGTATCAAAAAGAATTTCATAATTTAAAGCCAATATTTGCGCATCACTTCTGCAAATATAAGTGAACTTGAACAGGTAGGCAGTCTGCCACTTTGTGTCAGAGAAGTCCACACCCTTTACAAACTCATAAGGATAAGGGCACTGCAATGAGCCCACAGTCTCGCATACAGAGAGACATCGTTATCAAAGTGCATTGAATGAAAGCGTGTTGTGCTTTTTACTGTCATGTTGCGCGTGGCAGTGGAGTCTGCGGCGGGTTTGCCCAAGAAGAAACTGGGCAGCCCAGACCCCGTCGTATCTGTGGTGTTTAAAGGTAAGAAAGCCTGTTTTGTTTCATGTATAGCCATTTAACTGCAAAATAGCGGCACCGACTGTTAGTTTTGACCTGTTGGCTTTCGTATAATTTTAGACGAAAAGAAGAAAACCAAGTCCATTAGCAATGAAGTGAACCCAGTGTGGAATGAGGTCTGTTGAGGTTTTGTTTTAAACACTTTAACGCTAATTACAAATGAATGGGATTAAAGTTGCTGTGTATGACATAAAAACTGAATGCAAACTATTTTAATTTGATTGTTGTCTTTTTGTTTTCTTTAACTTTTTAAAATAATTTGTTTATGTGTTGTTTTTAATTTCATATTAATTAGGCTACCGACCTGAGCCTATTACTGCATGCATAGGCACAGACTAGTTTAACATTTTCTCCAGTGGCTGTGAGTTTTTGAAGTTTTTAATGCTCTTTTCCCCTTTAGACACTTGAGTTTGATTTAAAAGGTGTTCCTCTTGATTCTTCTTCCTACATTGATGTGCTTGTGAAAGACTACGAGACTCTTGGCAAGGACAAGTGAGTGTTTTTCAACTGCTCAATTGAGTCATACGCTCAATGTTAACCAGTGTAAGACAAACAGTGTGGTGTTGAACTCTTGCTCCCACCTTAATCAAATACAAGTTGTGTGACTACAGAAGTATAAGCTTATAGAATTCAAGAGTTTTGACCTCCTGGAATTGACTCAAAGTGACTTGCCATTCAGTAAAATGCAGAGTTCAATACAAAGTTTTGCATCAGTTCTTTCTCTTGGTTAGATTCACGTCTATTCCCTTTCACTTCTGTATTGATGTCACAGTTTAAAGTAGTCGCTGCATTTCTGGATAATCGTGGACCATGTTAATCTTGGTTTTCTCAGTCTCACACTGTAATACCATGCACCTCAAACACACCCTCCCGGCTGTGTTCAGACCTGCTCTACAATGCCATGAGGGGTGGAACGGAGGCGTTTGGTTCGCAGTACTGGATGAATAAATGATTGTTAGTTACTGAACTGCAGTTCTTGTATAAAGACATGACTTGAAGTAAATAGTATGGTCTTAAAACTCTTTATAACCATGTTGGGCTATAAATTTCATGCATTTCCAGTTATTCTAGATTTTTTTTTCTGTGAGAACGGCATTGGAGAAAATCCAATGGCGAACACAAAGAGGAACATAACTCCCACTGAAATTTACATTCATGCAATTTCATGCAAATTTGTCTTGTTGACGTCAAGTGGGTCTTTCATTCATTCCGTAGGTTTTTAATTTTCATTTCCCTTTGATTTTTGCAGGCATTCTGACAGTCTTTTATGAAGGAATTTTCTATCCATTTTATATCATTCTGTCATACTTTGTCAGATTAATTTATTCCTTTCTCTTTCGAATAGTTATAGGGCTTTAATCAGTAGAAATATATATTGACATTAACAAAATAGTTTGCAATAACTGTCTAAAAAAGAATATAATGTGTGTTATATGGGAATGAACTACAGTCCCTTAAAGAATCTGGAATGGCATACATTATAGTAGTTTTTACCCCCGACCCCTGATCATTTCTGACTCACATTATATAAATATGTTGTCAAATGCTGGCTATTATTAATCACCATCTTCAGTTCGTTGTGGTGTTTTGATATACTAAGAAATTACACTATTGAGATGCTTTCAAACCAAGTCAAAGGAACGGAGTTTTATTGTAAGGATCTCTCTCTCATTTTATTATTCTGACAACTATACCTTGGTTACCAAAGTAAAAGAAGCATTATGTTGAAGATACAGGATGAAAAAGCAAATATTTTGGGCCTTGACATGTAGCTTATGTTACTGATCTCATAAGAACACCATTATACTGACGTTTCTTTGTTTACCTGTCTCTATGTTGAAAGAGCACTAGTTATGGTGTTGCAGGATAGCACATAAGTAGTTAATATGGGCTAATCGGAGTAAAACAACACCGTTATTGCTCAGTTTACCTCTAATATCAGTGGGATTTAAAGTGTCTCCCAGACAGTGCAGTGGCAATGCATTGTTTAATGACTATGAAAAGGCTGGACTAGCAGTTTTCTTTCCTGTGTTGATGTAATCCCTATCGAAACAGGAATTTGGAGCAGAATGTATCTAATAGCCTTTAACTTGCATTACAAACCTAATAGACATGAACTACAAGCTCTAAAAACTTACCATTTTAAATTTCATGGGATCTTTAACTGATTTTGTTGGGCAATTTCCTGTAGGACATGTTCCTGGATCAACATCTTTGTTAGTTTTGGAATAATATTGTAATCAATTAATCAGATTTTAGAGATGGGGGAAGGCTGATCAAATTATAATTTTGGACAGTCTGAGAATTTAGCTCCAGAATGTTGAAGAGATGTGGTTCCAGCAAAGTATTTGGCAACATTTTCTGGGACACATGCATTTTTCTCTTTGGAACAAAAGTAGCATTGTGGCATTCCAAATCAATTCTGTTTGAGAGTCTGGCAAATGAAGAACACCACGGCACTGATCTAGTCTGCTTCCCACAAGGCCAGAGTTGTAGTGAGCAGTGCACTTAAGAGTTTAATTCCCAATGAAATACTTGTGTGCGCTAAAGTACAGGAAGTGTGTTTGATCATTGCTATTAAGAGGCTAGTAAATTTTAATCATACTTGGAATCACCTTAGGTTAAGGATCTCAGAAATGACATTCCATAAAGTAAATGGAATGAGGCGAAATGTTGGAGGGTGTGGTTACCTTTGCTTTTTATGTTTGCTTTGCCATGTTTGTTTGAAACTTGAGATCATTAGGTTTTGAATATTAGTTTGAAGTCTGAGAATTTTGTTCAATGCAATTGTTTTAATTGTCATAAGATGTTGTGAGACTTTCCCTGAAGATTTTGTAAGAACTCTTACAATGAAAACATGGGCTTCATTTAAGGAACCCAAGCAGAGTTGGTATCAAATAGTTTGAAAACCAATTACATGAATGTTGCATAAAATTAATTACAATAAATTAAATACTTCTGAATTAAATTATAAAGTTTCATAAGCAAAGATTTACTTGGCAAAATTAATTTGGGTGTAAATTGTTGATGACCATTCTTGAATAACTGTAATTTAAGGCAAGACACATGCAAAAAATGCACTGACTTAGGGCTACTTAGCATTTAATTACATGCTTTAGATTAGTGAAAAGAAACTTTATTTTATTGTGCTTTATCTGTTTGTCTGTAGATTTCAATTACAATAATACATATCTTTAAAGGCTGTTTTCTCCAAATTAGTTTTTTTTTCAACACCAGCCAGAAATCTCCACTTCAGTAGCATTTACAAACACCAAAATGTACAGTTTTATCTATATTCTTAAAGGGATAGTTCACCCAAAAATGAAAATTAACCCATGATTTACATGCACTCAAGCCATCCTAGGGTGTATATGACTTTCTTCTTTCAGAGGAATACAATTTGAGTTCTATTTAAAAAGTCCTGGCTCTTCCAAGCTTTATAATGGCAGTGAAGGGGAGTTGAAATTTTGAAGCCCAAAAAAGTACATCCATCCATCATAAAAGTAATCTATACCGTTTCAGGGCGTTAATGAAGGCCTGTAGTGAAGTGATGCGTTTGTGTAAAACATATCTAAAACTAAAAAAGTATTTAGTTCTCCAACATTTCTCTTTAAAAATTATTGTTTTAGACTTCGAATTCGTGACTGGTGTTTTGTTTTGCTCTATCCTCTGCACTTCCGTTTTTGTCAATATGTCAAGGGTCACTCACCGTAAATCAATGCGCCCGGCCATCTGTCGGAAGCTAGATATTTTAGTTTATAAAGTTTTAAATATGGATATTTTTCTTACACGAACACATCGCTTCGCTTCAGAAGGCCTTTATTAACCCCCCAGAGCCGTGTGGAGCACTTTTATTATGGATGGATGCAATTTTTTTGGGCTTCAAAATCAGGACCCCCATTCACTGCCTAAGAAGAGCCAGGAATTTTTTTTTATATAACTTCGATTGCATTCGTCTGAAAGAAGACAGTCATATACACGTAGGCTTCAGGGTGAGTAAATCATGGGGTAATTTTCATTTTTGGGTGAACTATCCCTTTTAAGCTTTTTAAAGAGGGGTTTGTTCATATCATTTGCTTCATTTTATACATTTTATTCCTAAACTTTATTCCCTTTTCTGGCTGTTGACTGTATTTTCTGATGAAAATACGGTGACGGAAAAGAGATCCAAAATCTCCTCTGTAAAAACCCTTGACTCTAACATGTCAACAAAATAAAACAAGAATTTTGAACCTGGCTTTATCTAGTGTTCATTTTGTTCTGTTCTAGGAAATATATGCAAATTAGTGCATATTTATATAGTGCATCATCTGCATATTTAAACATATCATTTGAGAACTTGGAAAAAAAAAATTCTTAATTTAATCAATCATCTGAGGAAGTATAGTAATATCTGCTTTTAAACCTTTTTTTTTTTACTATTAATTTAAATATGCATTGAATTGAATTTTACATTCAATTTGACACATGAATGCATTTAAGAGCAGAATTTTAAGACTTTTGTAAAACCGTTAATGCCATTTACCATAAAACCATTTACACAGCAAGTAAAAAATATCTTGCTATAATAGTGCAAGTGAAAGTTGTGAAGTTAATTTATATAGTTGATAATATATATATATACACTCACCGGCCACTTTATTAGGTACACCTGTCCAACTGCTCGTTAACACTTAATTTCTAAGCAGCCAATCACATGGCGGCAACTCAGTGCATTTAGGCATGTAGACATGGTCAAGACAATCTCCTGCAGTTCAAACCGAGCATCAGTATGGGGAAGAAAGGTGATTTGAGTGACTTTGAACGTGGCATGATTGTTGGTGCCAGAAGGGCTGGTCTGAGTATTTCAGAAACTGCTAATCTACTGGGATTTTCACGCACAACCATCTCTAGGGTTTACAGAGAATGGTCCGAAAAAGAAAAAACATCCAGTGAGCGGCAGTTCTGTGGGCGGAAATGCCTTGTTGATGCCAGAGGTCAGAGGAGAATGGCCAGACTGGTTCGAGCTGATAGAAGGGCAACAGTGACTGAAATAACCACTCGTTACAACCGAGGTATGCAGCAAAGCATTTGTGAAGCCACAACACGCACAACCTTGAGGCGGATGGGCTACAACAGCAGAAGACTCCACCGGGTACCACTCATCTCCACTACAAATAGGAAAAAGAGGCTACAATTTGCAAGAGCTCACCAAAATTGAACAGTTGAAGACTGGAAAAATGTTGCCTGGTCTGATGAGTCTCGATTTCTGTTGAGACATTCAGATGTTAGAGTCAGAATTTGGCGTAAACAGAATGAGAACATGGAACCATCATGCCTTGTTACCACTGTGCAGGCTGGTGGTGGTGGTGTAATGGTGTGGGGGATGTTTTCCTGGCACACTTTAGGCCCCTTAGTGCCAATTGGGCATCGTTTAAATGCCACGGCCTACCTGAGCATTGTTTCTGACCATGTCCATCCCTTTATGGCCACCATGTACCCATCCTCTGATGGCTACTTCCACCATGTCACAAAGCTCTAATCATTTCAAATTGGTTTCTTGAACATGACAATGAGTTCACTGTACTAAAATGGCCTCCACAGTCACCAGATCTCAACCCAATAGAGCATCTTTGGGATGTGGTGGAACGGGAGATTCGCATCATGGATGTGCAGCCGACAAATCTGCGGCAACTGTGTGATGCCATCATGTCAATATGGACCAAACTCCCTGAGGAATGCTTCCAGCACCTTGTTGAATCTATGCCACGAAGAATTGAGGCAGTTCTGAAGGCAAAAGGGGGTCCAACCCGTTACTAGCATGGGGTACCTAATAAAGTGGCCGGTGAGTGTATATATATATATATATAGATATAGATATATATATATAGATATAAAGAGATTTTAACATGTAAGCTCACATGTAATATATTTTAAAGCTTTGATTTCTAGAGAATATTTTATTACATATGATCTGTATATATTTATATACATTTAAACTAACTGCTTAATAGTTAAACTAAAGTTGCTCATGTGTAATTTCGATTTGAGATCTCTTACCCAGAACATAACCTGCAGAAGCAGCATGAAGCGTAAGTAACTGTGGTGATGACCACCGCTAAAAGCCAAACCACTTGCATGGTTCTCAGGGTTGGCACATACTAAACAGAAACATACCTGGCTAGCCCCCTAAACTGGCTTCATGGCATAGGCCCCCAGCAGGTCTAATGTCTGTGGACGCACCTTCGTTATTTGTGAAATGATACAACACCAGCCCACTAATCAAATGTGTAGAGGTTACATGTCCCTGTTTTCAGAAGGTAAATGCTGAATGTGCTGTTTTTTTGTGGCTGAAAAATTAATAATCAAAGCGTTTTATAGCAGATGTTTCTCTTAGCCAGGGAAATGCTCAGATGTAAAATGGTCTTTGAGGGTGTTCCTGGATGCTGACCTACTAAGCGTCGCAGTCACATTATTAATATGGGTGGCGTTATTTACTTTTGGAGGAGATCTCTCTTGTGACTTTCAGAGAGCACACAAAGAATTTTTCTCCCTCGTATAATATTTATTTACGCATTGTGTTGTGTGCCACCTCTGTTTATTATGTAGCATTTAATGGACTGACAGAAAATAATTAAAGTTCCCCTGTGGTGAAAATTTGAATGTTGTTTATATGTCTATGTGGTCTTTTTAATATGCTTTGACAAAACATGTGCAAAATCTTAAGTCAACATAATTATTTTATGACATAAGTATTTTCTCCTCAAAACTGCAGTAAAAAAAAGAGTCTCAAAAAGCAGTTCGCTGGTGTTTCTGATGTCACAAACTACCTTGTAACCAATCAGGTCAATATCTGAGCTGGTGTGTGTGGAGGTGGGGCTAATTTGCATATTCATAGAACCGCATATATTAAATTAATCAAGGGCGTAGAGTTACATTCAAGTTATTTTAAGGCATGAAAATTTTTTTTCAAGGACAAAACATTTAAATATGTAATTTTGGTGATCAAAGATGAGTTTTAAGGGATCATATGATGAAATGATGACTTAAAATGAGTAATCAGATATATTTCCATTTTTAAAAAATATATTATGGAGGCGAAGGGTTGAGAAATTAAAGGAATTCATGATGTCAGCTGAAAAGAAAAGTTGTTTCAGAGGTGGAGCAAGTTTTGGCATTTTTATAAAAGATTATAAAGGCAAACCTTGTTTGTTTGTTTGTTGCTTTTTTTGAATAATATTAACTGATGAGTAATTAACAGTCAGACCAGGAACATGAATTATGAAATAAGTTTTGATTTCGTGGTGCACTGCACTTTTTTTCAAATCCAAATGAAGTCACACAATTCACACAGCAGTATTTGAAACACTGTATGAGAACAGATATTATGTTCTGTAGAAACATGGGACATCAGTTGACCTGCTTGATTTTCCACAGGCCTTTTTTTTTATTATCTTTTTTTGTTTGTTTGTTTGTTTTAGGTTGATTGGATCTGCTAAAGTCTCTTTAAAAGACCTTGCCAGTAGCCAAGTTAAGTCTCTCCCTGTGAAAAACTTGGCTCTAGTGGATGAAAATGGCAAGAACATAGGAGTAAGTGTGTTTTTCTTCTTTTAATCTCCTAAATCAAATGACACACAAATGTATATTTGTTATATTTTAAATACATTTTCTTATAAGTAGGTACTGCACCCGCACAACTAATTCCGTCATTTACAAAGTCCCATACATCCTCATCTTTTGCATTTTCTTTTATTAAATACCTGAAAATACTTTCAGCTACCAAATAAGTATTATTGGGTCTCATTCACTAATAATTGCATGGATTATTCGTATTTATATGCACAGGAGAACTTCTCAAGAAAATGTTCGCCTAATTCACAACACGTGTGTACAACAAACCCAAACTATGTCAATTTAAGGACTTTCCGCACACCCTTACCTTTCGTCACTCTCAACAAACACGCTCTGTAAAATCACATTCTAGCTTGAGAACACGTGCAGCAAGATCCTCGAGCAATGCCAATTGTGCCATCCTCAAAACAAGTTTAAACTAAACAAACCCATTTAATACACACCCAGATTACAGACTTCTGATTGGCCAGCTGTATACGTGTACCTGTGTCTTTATTCAGAGCATACTATAATACACTTTTTTTTACTTTTACTGTATGCATACATGCGTGTATGTATGTATGTGTGTGTATATATATATATATATATATATATATATATATATGTGTGTGTGTGTGTATATGTACATGATGAAATATATTTAAGATCTATATTTAAGTATTACATTTCATCTAGGCCACCAAGTGTATGTGAATATTTTGTGTATGAGTGCTTTAAATTTAGAATACATTTTAGATTGAAAGTTATTGATGAATCATGATTTGTTCGTGAAAACATTCGTACGCTGATTTCAAGCACAAAGTTAGTGAATGTGAACTTTTGGTCCCATGTATTTACAATGACTTTACTGGCTTAATTGACTAGTTAATTTTAATTAAGTCGTCACCTGTATTAAACATGAGAGGCATATTTAAACAACGATTAAATTTTTTTAAATCTAATGTAGTTTTGTGATGATAGCATCACTGTCAATATTTACACATTCGAGGCACTTTTCAGTATTTATGTAGTCTATTTGACACATTATTATGAGATAATTAGCTGCATCCTTTTGTAGGGGACCATCAGCATGATGATTGGCTATGAGCCACCTGCCGGTGCTGTGACAAATCCACAAGATCAACAAGATGGCAGCATGGGTGGAAACACAGGTTAGCTGAGTGTGTGGCTCAGTGCTTTTCTGTTTGACCTTGTAATGGAGTGTTATGCAGATGACATGCTTGATGGTGTGTGAAATTATGTGTAAAAATTAAGTGTGAAATACATTTTCAGATACTTTATAGTTGTACGTCGATTGCAGGAATGCGTGAAGATCATTTTGTGAAAGGCTTTAGCTTTGAATATGTGTATTGCATGTTTGCCATGTTGCATATGTTTGACTGACCCATGCCATGACGTACTTGTTTTATGTATTTTTTCTTTGTGGATGTGCACTGATCAGCTGGGGGTGAAGAGGGTGACGTCACTGATTCTGGGGTACCGGGTGCTGCCACGTCCCCTGGTGAGCCTGGCCAGAAACTTCGGACTAGGACAAGGAAACGTCATAATTTGGCCAACAAACCTCAGGATTTTCAGGTACAGCAGCGTCCTGTAGTCATATATGCAGATGTCTCTTCCATTTTAAATGCTGACTGCATATGCTTTATTAGTCATGTTATTTTTGTCAAAGATACGTGTGCGGGTGATTGAGGGGCGTCAGTTGCCTGGAAATAACATCAAACCTGTGGTCAAAGTGCATGTGTGTGGAGAAACACACAGAACTAGGATCAGGAAAGGAAATAACCCATACTTTGATGAGGTACACGATTGATATTACAGAATATTTGTATTATTTTATTTATTTATTTAAAACGGCAACAATTGTTTTTTATTTAATTAGTTATTTATTTTTTTAAACATTTCCTATTCTTAAGTACACTTCTATTCTTGTACTATATTGTAATCTTGCTAATTGCTAATTTTCACTGGACGAAAAAAATGGACAAGCTTCATATTTGGGTGAACTGTTCTTGAAGGCTACATTCACACCGCAAGCCTTAGTGCTCAATTCTGATTTATTGCTCCGATATATATATATATATATATATATATATTTTTTTTTTTGTTTGGCTGTTGTCATTATTTTTTAAATGTGGTCAATATCAGATTCAAGTGTGAACTGCTCTCAGTCCCAAACTGACCCCAAAAGAACAATAACAAGACACTGTCATACGAACGTAAACATGGAGGACACTGAAATTAGTGCTTAAGCATTCCATTCGTTTAAGCTGATGTTCCCCTGAAGCACGTGAACTGATATAGTTTTTCACTTACTTCACCGTGATCCAGTCCCTCCACTGACTACTGTCACAGCTGTCTTCCATATTAACCGAGTGACCAAAGAACTACAGTGAAATCTTTGGTGTGACTCCCGTCAGCGCAGAATTGTGACGAATGTCGATCTAGAGTGGCGTAAAAGACGCATGACTTCCGATATGACTGTTCGGGCTGTGGTTGCATTGCAAAACATCTGAACTGTACCAGATTTATTTCCACATATAGAAGTGGTCTAAATCAGAATCGAATAAATCAGATTTTATGGTTTGTGCTGTTCACATTAGAAACCGATAAGCACATAAGCGAAAACATCAGATTTGAGTCACTTTTGTCCGCAGTCTGAATGTAGCCTTAGACTCTATTCCTGATTATTTGAAAGCCATCATTTCCTAAAGTCTAAATGGAATGTCACTAAATACTGTATGTGTCACTCTTTCCAGATATTCTTTTTCAATGTCAACATGTTGCCCTCTGAACTGTTTGATGAGATCGTAAGCTTCCGGGTAAGAAAAAAAGCTTCTTTTTTTTTTAACCAGTTTTCCTTTCTTTCTTTATTATCGGTGATGTTTTTCTTCTTTTCTGCAGGTGTATAACTCTTCTTCTTTTAGATCAGACTGTCTCATGGGTGAATTCAAGGTAATTCAGTAAAATTCAAAGTGTGCTTTTATTATACTAGATGCGCAGTGTACTTCAAGATGATCTTATGAATTCATTTCTCTTTTTGTAGCTCGATATTGGCTACATCTATGATGAACCAGGTAATTATCTGATACTCACAAAATATTCATTACATTTTATCTGTAGTTGAACGGATCATTAAAGGTTTGTTTTTTAAACCCCAGCTCACTGCGTCATGAAGAAATGGGTTCTCCTGAGTGACCCAGATGACTCGAGCTCAGGAGCGAAGGGTTATATCAAAGTCAGCATGTTTGTGGTGGGGACAGGAGATGATCCGCCGGTACGTCCCCTGAAGATCATTTATATTAGCATTTGTGCACTGTGTAGAACCTGATTTCACCAAGTGCAACCTTCCAATCAGATTTGAGGGACAAGTTTACAGTTTATGTCAAGTTTAGGCTTACAACGAGAGTTGGTTGCTTCTACATCAGTGTTATTCACCTATCATTTCCCTATGATTTTAGGGATAACTTATTGGTAGTGTTGAGGGGTAGGGATATTGTTAGGATTAGATTTTCAGACAGGAATGTTGTTCCAGGATCAACAAAATATGTTGACCCAGGAACACGTCTAACTAAAATATGCAATAGTGCTCAAGAAGACTTTATAAACCTGCTAAAATACGGCTTTCTATCTGTCATAAATTTTGGAGAGAAAAAAACTCCTAAAAATGTGTAAGCTCATGCTATACAAGCTGTATAAACTGGTCTTATTTGTTAATGTCTATTTGACAGGTGGAAAGGAAGGAGGAGGACAGTGATAAAGATGATGTGGAGAGTAACTTGCTGCTGCCCGCTGGCGTCGCTCTCCGATGGGTTACACTTAAACTCAAAGTGTTTCGGGCTGAGGACGTCCCCCAGAGTATGACAGTTATTCCTTATGCATTTGTTCTCTGAAGTAGCACATCAGACAATCTTCTTTGGTTGATATGATTTGGGTTCAATTGTTAGTCCAGGAAAGGGCCACATTGAGGATTCTTTATTTGTTGAGCTGGCACATTGAGTCACTTCCTGATCCCTCAATGTGGTTTCCTACTAGCTTACACAAAACCGTTCCCTGCCATTAACTGTTGAGTTGCTGGGACTGTTAACACGTGCACAGAGTTCCCTGATCTCAGATGTCTGTCAGTTAAGCTAATGACTGGGAAAAAAATCGGAGAAAGCTGGTTATCTTATTTTGTTCTTATGACTAATCCTACAGAATGTTTTTATGTTTAAAAATGGTTAAGTATGTAGTTAAAGTATACTAGTTAAGTATGTGGCTTAACTAGTAGATAAACCCCCATTTTCACAGACATTTTTAAATGAAAGCAACTTGCACTGACATGCCTTAAAATATGTCAGTCAGTGCTATTGTTTTGTCTCGAGATGTACACCAGTAATGTTTTTTTTTCTAAGGCACGTTAATAAAAGCTATTTAAATGTCCTAATTGAGTTAAGACCTGATCCTGGCTTAATATAAGCCCTAAACCGGCCGTTAAAAATATTTAGATAAGCTGTAGATACAATTTTGTACAATAAGTTGTATTTAGTAAGTTGTACCAATGGTTTTTTTTAGACTGTGAAAAAATAAACTCTAAATAAACTAAAAAAATAAATCTCAATACTGCTTATCAAAATACTTCAACCACATCTGCTAGCTAAGTTGTAAGTAAAGTTTAAATCATAAAATAAGTTGTACTAAGTAGTTTTTTTTTTCAGACTGAAAGAATAAACTGCACTTTAAGCAGCAAAAGTTAGTTAACTTATTGTTAGAGTACCGTAAGTAAATATAGTTGGAAGTATTTGGATTATTTTAATTAATAACTTTTATTCTTTTCTCAGACTGTAAAAGAATAAACCACACTTTAAAGTGTAAGTAAGATGTAACATTGAAGTGCTTTTTGTTTTCAGTGGATGACTCCATCACGCAGACTTTAAAAGCAGCATTTGGGGGTCAAGAAAACAAGAAAAATCTAGTGGATCCATTTGTTGAGGCCTGGTTTGCTGGCAAAAAGGTACAGTACTACAGTCCACCCAGACATACTGTATGCGCATATTTCTTCTGCATTTTGTCTGAACTACAGTTACATGTATTTTAGCTCTGTACACAAATAATTGAGAAGAATGCAAATCCAGAGTGGAACCAGCAGCTCAATCTGCAGGTCAAGGTAATTGGCTGGATTGGGAAAGATTTGTTTTTGCACTTTATTAATTTGTTAGCCCCCTGAAGTTTCTAATTGGAAACACTTTTGACTTGTTTTACAGTTCCCATCCATGTGTGAAAGAATCAAGCTGACTGTATTTGACTGGTGAGCATAAAGTTGTATGGCCACAGTGGATATGAACATTTTACATCTGTGTCGAGAGAATCCCCTGTGTTAATCTTGGAATGTGAGCTGGGAGTCAAAATGTGGTCAGTGTTTTGAGCTGGGAGGACACAGGCAGGCAGTATGAGTCATAGCAGGACTGTCCCACCCTCTCCCACAAAGCATTCCTCCCCATAAACCAGACTACAGCTGCTTAGGGAACAGTGGAAAAACTGATAACTCCCCTAGCTGGACTGATTCAATGACACACTGGAACATTTAAGCTGACTCCCCCTCTTTCTTAGGGATCGCCTCTCTGGAAATGATGCCATAGGCACCACGTATTTGGATCTGTCCAAAATAGCATCCTCTGGTGGTGAAGTTGAAGGTATAAAATACAGAAAACACTATTTTCATGTCACTCTTTTTTTTATTTTTTTTATTAAAGGGGTCGTGTCGTGAACTTTTGAGTTGTGTACTATGAAATTCAAAACTTAAATATTCTTTTATTCATCTTTATTTGTTTTCTGTGTGATAGAGGATTATCCAGGAGATGAATTTTCAGCAAATAAAGGTTGAATATTTGCGCTGATTCCAGATCTGCAATCCCTTGTGTCCAAACACACAATTTAGACCTTCTAGTTATTCTGTACATTCTAGTTAACATGCAGTACTTAAGGTTTTTATTAAACAGGTTATTTTCTCAAACCAACTATTTTTATTCGTATTGGTCTGAAAGGATGTGATACCCAAGGGGTTGCAGTTAATTTACACATTATAAATGCCTATGCATGCTTTCGAATTAGCATTAGCACAGAGCATGTATGCTATTTTTGTCATGTTATGCAACATGCAAATGCAATTTACTATAACCTTAATTTCCTAAATAAAATGGCATGGCATAATTGAGCATCTGACTTGCATAAGTTTGGAATAATTCTGTTTTTCTTTTGTTTGTTTTTTGTCTTATGCTTACCAAGGCTGCATTTATTTGATCCAAACATATAGTAAAAAAGTTATATTATTAAATTTAAAATAACTGTTTACTATTTTAAAATGTTTAGTTTAATCATTTTTCTTCAGTGTCACATGATCCTTCATAAATATTCTATTATGCTGATTTGCTGCTCAAGAAACATTTCTTCTCATCAATGTTGAAAACTGTTTTGATGCTTTTTTTTGTGGAAACTGTTACACTACCATTCAAAGTTCAATATACTGTAGTCAGCATTTGAAGGGGATCTAAAACGTTAATCAAAGTTGTCCTAAGACAAGAACGGGTATTGTTCAAAATTCATGTATAACTTTGAACGGTTTTGATCCACTTCAAATGTTGACTACTGTATTTTTTTTCAGCAAGGATTCAGCTTATCTATCACAGGAATAAATTACATTTTGAAATATATTAGAAATAAAAAAAAACAGTAATATCTCACAATACTACTACTTTTACTCTATTTTTTATTTTAAAAATGCAGCCTTTGTAAGAGATGCTTATTTATTCCAAACTTGACTGGTAGTGTACGACTGTTATTGTGAAAATATTCCAGTTGTGAAAAATCATATTGTGCTGAAATCATCACTAACATTGTTTATCCATGTAGTTGAAATCACAGCATGAATTTAATAAATTATTATAATAATTTCATATTGTGCTGAAATCATCACTAACATTGTTTATCCATGTAGTTGAAATCACAGCATGAATTTAATAAATTATTATAATAATTTCATGAATTATAACGAATCATTTTAAAATGTACAGAAACCCACAATTAATGACACTAATTTAAAGAGCTCTGCTTTTGAGATGCTTCAACAAACCTTACTAATCTAACTACTAACTAATATCATGCCACTGGAAACTTTTAATTGAATGTGTTTTTCCACAGGAGAGACTGGGGAATCTGAGATGGGCTTCCTCCCTACGTTTGGGCCTTGCTATATATGTCTGTATGGCAGTCAGAGAGAGTTCTCAGGCTTACCTGACCCATATGACGACCTTAATTTAGGAAAGGCAAGTGCAGATGATTAATTTTGTTTCCATTTCCAAGTAATTAGAATTTACAGCAAAAATGTTTTCAGTTAAAAAATGCTTTTCAAATACACTGAAGGATGTGTGAATATTCGCAGGGTGAAGGGGCGGCTTATCGAGGGAGAGTTCTTGTTGAACTCTCTACTAAACTTGATGGAAAGCCTGACAAGTCTGTGGAAGAAATATCAAGCGATGATATCTTGGTTGTTCAGGTGTGGCTCTTTGAGTTTCCTAACAGATTAGTTTTTCACTTGAAGCCTAATATTTACAGCTTTGTGTTCTTTTCTTTGCATAGAAATACCAGCGCAGAAGGAAGTATTGTCTGTGTGCAGTGTTTCATAGTGCGACCATGATTCAAGAACCGGGGGAGCCCATTCAGTTTGAAGTTAGCATCGGGAACTATGGCAACAAGATGGATCAAACGTGCAAACCTCTGGCTTCGACCACACAGTACAGCTGTGCTGTTTTTGATGGTGATGCACAGTTGGAAGTATTTGGTGTTTGTAAATATAGGATGTGAGGTATTGATTTTTTTTTTCCCTTTTTTCTTTGGTTCTTCCAGGTAATAATTACTACTACCTGCCATGGGGCGACACTAAGCCTGTGATTTCCATCACATCCTTTTGGGAGGATATCAGTCACCGGTTAGACTCACTGAACATCATTCTGTATATATCTAACCGTTTGGTAAGTGAATGTTTTGTATGACATTGAATTTAGGAGTGTGCGATTTATAACGATTTTAGATCTTGAATGTTTAAAATGTCTCAAATCTGCTTTTAAGAGAGAAAGTAGTATCATGCTTCAGTGCACATTCTATTCTCAGTTACAACGTGACGTACCTTCACGTCACATGTTTAGCAACGCAACAATAGGGTTACGCACACGTGACATTGCAGTTCTTCGCAATAACTAAAGTTTATTATTTACATGCATCTCAAAGCCTTGCCAGTTAAACATTTTATTCGCACACTGTTCTGACCAAGCGCCAACCTTCCTGTCTCTCTCTTGAAACCAACACGGAAGTGACTTAAACTGCAATTCATCGACTGGCCGCTAGAGACAGGCTCCAAAAGAGTGAATCCCATATATCCCCCATGTAAAAATGCCCAACTTTACAGCAGAAAAAAATGTTTACAGCCTGGTGCAAAAAGTGGTTTTGCTCTATATAGCTAATTTTGCCCTTCATGACAACTTTGAGGGGCGTGAATGTCCTTATAACTCATCCGTTTGAATTATATTAAGCCTTAAAGTTCTGCATAATTAACGGGGTGGCCACTTGAGTGACAGGTGGATTGCCGCTGTTGTCGCTACTAGCCGTTTGTCTGCTGTTAGCCGTCACAGCTAATCCCGCCTCTTTGCCCATTTTCGGTTATCTGGGAGTGACGCGTAGTAGTTCTACCAAGATGGCGACCGCCGGCTCCGCCCACTTTGGGCTTCAAAAATGCTCTTCAGAAACCTACGGGTGATGTCATGGACACAACGTCCATATTTTTTTTACAGTCTATGGTTCTGACATGCACTTGTCAGAGCATAAGAGACCCCAAACTTTTAGTGTGTGTGTGAGTGAGTATAATTCTTTCTTTGAGCATCAAACTTTAATACTTTTGCAGCAAACAAACCTCAGTATGTTAAAGTCTGCAGTACTGTCCAGAGCTACAGATGCAAGACTAGTAGAAATCTGGCTGAAGCTCATCAATCAGTTAATGGAAGATATCACCAGGTAATGTCCACTTTAGATCTTATTTAGATCCACAGTCATCAAGATGTGCATTGTTGAATGTTGTCAGTTGAAATATGGGAGATTTTCTTGTATGTAGGGTAAAGAGAAAGTGTTTTATTTGTTTCATGCATGTTTTAACTAATACAAACTACTGTGTGCTAAGTTTAAAAATTCCTGACCTGGAGGGGAAGCCCAATCTCACAGCCCTGGATATTCAGATAAAGAAGTTGCGGGACAGTGCTTTGGAGAGCATCATGGAGGGGGCCAAACGCTTGTTTGAGGAGGCCACAGATGTTACTAAGTGCTTGAGCATCATTGAAACCTGGCTCGACAAACTCCTGCAACTTGCTGAGGAGGTATGGTTTTATTTTGTGTAGGAATGGAGCTACAATTAGAAATACACATGGATTTTTTTTTTAAACTAATCTATACTAATTGGTCAATTATAAATGAATATCAATATTAGATATTCAGTTGTGCACGCTCATTTACCATATTTTTTTTGCCATTTGCTGTGATCTCACTTAGACGGTGACATCTCATCTTTAGACACCTAATCATTGTACAACAGTAGCCTATTCATTTAGTTGTTTATGCTGTACATTAATGTTTTGGCTAAATGCACTTGTGGCATTTAAAATTTCGTATTTTATTTGTTTAGACAAATTAGTATAGAATTTTATGAATCTGCTATTTTTCTGAATAAATAAACATGAAAATAATTAGCGGCTTGTTATCGAACATAATTTTAATATTGATGCATCCCTAAATAACACAAAAGAAATCAACCCATTGCTTAAGAACCAAGAAACCTGACTAAGACTGACAATATTAGACCAGCGGAAAGAAAATGCTCAAATAAATGCATACCAGTATCTGGCTACGAGCAGAATGTGACTTTCTGTCCATCTAAAATGTACTGATTATTTCACAGATAGAACTTAGAAAACAATATGGAATACAACATTTTGTTTGTGAATATCAAGTTAACATGCTCCTATGAGACACAAACAAAACTCTTTTAAAGATGCTACAAACCTGAAAAACATTTTCTACTAGTATATCCAACTCCAGGCAAACTGGTGCACTTCCAGGAAGTTGTGTGGAGCTGGTTTTCTGCCAATGCTTGTATTTTATTTTTACAGTATACTTTAGACGTCACGTTAGGGACCAGTGCTAGATTAGAATTGTAATTTAGGTGCTTATTCTTTTTAATCAGACTAATAGAATCTAACTTAAATGAAGTCACATTTAAGCATAATTTGTATCAACATCTTTTACCAAAGCCTCAGAACAGCATGCCTGATGTGATTATCTGGATGTTGAGAGGAGAGAAGAGGGTAGCGTACACCCGCATCCCAGCCTATCAAGTGCTGCATTCATCCTACTGTGAGCAGGCATGTGGCCAATACTGCGGGAAGAATCAGACTGTCTTCATGCAGGTATTGAGAGATTGTACTATGCTGCTCTTCAAACAAAAGGCATAAAACACGTTTAAGCTTTGCTCTATGAAATGTTCTGTACCTCATGTTTCCTTACAGTATCCCATGGACAACAAAAAAGGTTTGAAGATTCCCGTCCAGATACGTGTGAACATGTGGCTTGGGCTGGCAACAGAAGAAAAGAAGTTCAATAATTATGCAGAGGGGATGTTCAATGTATTTGCAGAACTGGTAAAGGTTTTTTTTTTTTTTTTTTTTTTGCTTTTGCTTTGAGGTCTGAAGAGATGCAGTCATTAGTTTTGAGCTAATGCCGTCAATTGTTTCATTTACAGTATGAAAACCAAGCTCAAGTTTTGGGAAAATGGGGCACCACCGGTCTGCTAAATCGCAGCAAGTTCTCTGATGTCACAGGCAAAGTTAAGCTGAAGCAGGAGTACTTCATGCCCCCTGTTGGCTGGGAGTGGGAAGGTGATTGGCGTGTTGAACCAGAGAAAACGTAAGTTGTCCCCCACCCTCAGCACAAACATTAAGAAATAGTTAGCAAATTATTATTTGATGCTTCCATGTACTATTACTATGGCTATTTTTACTATTACTGACTTTTTACTTTTTACGGCAGTTTTCACCATGGTATCGAAAATGATGTTGAATATCGATAAATCAATATTTTTCAAGGTATCGTGTCGAGTTAGAAATTCCAGTATCGTGGCAACTCTACTAGTAACACTGTTATATAAACTAAAGGCCTTTTTACATCGAGACAAATGTTTTTTTTAATGCAAAAATTCAGTGCAATAGATATTATAATTTGAAGGAACAGCTGTTACTGTCTGTTCAGACTGTCACAACCATTCGTATGCCGTTAATGTGACACTTCTGCTGAAAGTTGGTAACTTTTTACAATAAGGTTCCTTTGTTAACATTAGTTAACATGAACTAACAATGAAAAATGCTTTAAAGCATTTATTAATCTTAGTTGATGTTAATTTCAGTATTTACTAATACATTGCTTAAATCAAAAGTTGGTAAAAAAAATTAATAGACCACAGTTAACATGAACTAACAATTTATTAACCAATTTTAACAAAGATTAATAAAAACTGCAACAAATGTATTTCTCGTTGTTAGTCAACGGTAGTTAATTAATTAATGGAAGCTTAATGTGAAGTGCTTTGTGTACCACAGTATCTGGGGTAAATATTTCTGCTTTTCCATAAGTGCCATATACTGTCAGAGAGGGAATTTAAATGTTCATTCAGGCCATCTGCCCTTTTCTTTTTTTTTTTACATCAGTCTGAACACATGCGAAGATCAGACCGAATTTTAGTGCCAAACGTTTGTTGATGTGAACAAGACTTTAGTCCCACTCATTTACTGTATAGCCTTATAGCAATGCCTGGGTAACATTTGTTCCCCCCACAACACCTAGTATAATAGTGGCAAGTTCATAATCATTTCCTTCAGAAACCGTTCGTTTAGTCATTAAATTGTATTTTCCTTGGGTGGATGGGTAGTCTGCTGACTGAGGCTGATGCTGGACACACAGAGTTCGTGGATGAGGTCTATGAGAATGAGACTCGATTCCCAGGAGGAGAATGGAAGCTTGCTGCGGAGCCTTACACTGATGTGGTAAAAGAGTCTGTCTAACTTTAGCTTCATATCAGATGTCTAATCAAGATATTCGTAGATTTTTTTAATTGTTTCTATTTGAAAAGAATCTACTGCACATACAGAAAAGTTTGTACTATCCCTCAAAAATCCTTCTATTCCTCATTGTTATCCTTTTGGTATTTACAGAATGGAGAAAAAGTTCAGAGCCCTACAGAGATTGAATGTCCACCTGGCTGGAAGTGGGAGGATAACTGGACTTTTGATGGTAATCGGGCCGTCGATGAAAAAGGTAAGCTTGTCTTTGCTTTTTGTTTAGAAATGTTGAATTTTGTTTCATGCCCACTGAGCCACTTTTAAAAGAATTTCCCTACCGAAAAATGTTTTTAAAATTCCATTTCCAAGAAATTCCATTTAGAATTAAGAATTAAAGAATTATAATTCTGTCATTTACTCAACCGCATGTCACTCCAAACCTGTTTGACTTAACTTTATTCTGTTGTAAACAAATGAGAAGTTTAGCTACATTTTTACTGCTGTTTTCCTTTCATTCCTTTCTCGGTTTCTTCTCATGTCTCTAAAAAGGATTAAAAAAAAAAAAAAAAACTTTAGAAGCTCAAATTAGACCATATGACTTGTGCATTATATTTCAAGTCTTTTCAAGTCATGGCTTTAAGAAACAGACTGGCACTTAATGTTCTAGTCTCTTAAAATCCTGCCTTCCTCTATAGCTAACTTCTGCCTCTGCTGATTGTGCAGACAATGAGATTGTTTGCTCAACATTTAAATAGTGTGGCACAGTGTTTGTTGTAAACTGGTTCTGCAGTGCGCTATCAGAGTTCCTCTGAAATCCTCCACCTGCCTAGATCTGCTACAGGATTTATATACGGTATACCTATTCATGCCACTGCAGTATATCTTACATACATTTATATAATATTTGTTGCTATAATTAACTAACTGCTGTAAGAATGTATGTACATACATGTATGTATGCATACATTTACACTGTGACAAATTTGACATTAACGGCATTGGTTCGCACAAAGCATCTTCCTGGCAAACATGCATGATAAATGAATGCTTCATCAGAAGGGAAGATTATCAGTACATACGAAAAATTTCGGTATGTTCATCACACATAGCTCTCGTATGGCTTCAGAAGACTTCAGAGGGAATTTAGTGCCCAAATCAAATTGACTACTTTTAAGATGCCTTTTATGGTATGCGTTTTCCTTTTTCTGGAGCATGGCAGCTCCTGGTTTTCTTTCATTGTGCAAAATATGCTGCGTCAAACATGGCATCCACAGTTGAAAGTCATATATGTTTTAAATGACAGAGATTTAGTTTTGATGACCTGAGAATAAAAATTCAGTCAAAGTCAGTTATATGATGTGTATTTGTGAGTTTAGGTTGGGAATATGGTGTCACCATTCCACCTGATGATAAGCCCAAATCTTGGGTGGCAGCTGAGAAGATGTACCATGTTCATCGTCGCAGAAGAATGATCCGTCCTCGCAAAAGGATTCCTGGTGCTAAAACAGCCATTGATGCAAGTGTATATTGTGAATTTAAAAGTTTTTTTTTTTTTTAGATTTTGCCTTTATAAAAATGTATTTTCTAATTGTCTGACATGCAGAAGAAGGATACAGGAGATGCAGAAGGATGGGAATACTCCTCGCTCATTGGCTGGAAGTTCCACAAGCAGCAGCGATCCTCTGACACGTTCCGCCGACGGCGCTGGAGAAGGAAGATGGCACCCTCTGGTCGAGTTGGAGCGTCTGCCATTTTCAAACTGGAGGGGGCTCTGGTTAGCATCAAAGTTTCCCATTTCTTATCCTAATACTATCCTACATTTTAGTGCCCACATAATGAGCTTTTCACTGTTGATTTACTTGACAGGGAGTCGACATGGAATCTAAAGTTGATGAAAAAGGCACCAAAGCAGAAGCTTCAGTTCAGCAGTTTGGTGCAAACAGGCCAACTGTATCATGCACATTTGATGGTGAGTTCATTAAGGACAGAGATTCCAGAAAGACTTCTTTTTTTTTCTTTCAGAATATCCATTTTATTAACGTTAAGCCTGATTTTCTTTCAGGACCCAATGCGTACCACTTGAGAGTTTATGTTTACCAGGCCAGAAACCTTTCTGCTCTGGACAAAGACAGCTTCTCAGGTCCCATAGTAGTTTTGATATTGCTGATTTGTCTTTAAATTAGAATAATCTGGAAAAGTGACCTGGCTTTTATTATAACTAAAATCATATTGGTTTAAATTGCAGATCCATACATCCATGTGTCGTTCTTGCATCACAGCCAAACAACAGAGACAATCCAAAGCACCTTGAACCCGTCATGGGATCAGACTCTTATATTTAAAAATGTGGAAATCTATGGTGATCCCCAGTCTCTCGCCCGGAATCCACCCAGAGTGGTAATGGAAATCTTTGACAGCGATCAAGTGGTTAGTCTGATATATTTATGCTCTCACTTTACTCCACTCAATTGACAATATCGGCTTCTCAAGGTGTCTCAGGATGCCTGTTCAATTTTTTTTAATTTACAACACAAAAGATCTTTTTTTTTATAATAAAAAATTGATCACATATAAACAGAATTTGTTGTTTACTGGTAAACCTGACAAATATTAGCTATTCTATATTTAAATTTATATCTTATTTTAGAATGCAAGTGCCCCCATAGTGTGAATGATTTGCAATTTCATCCTGTTAGGGTAAAGATGAAATGCTTGGCAGAAGTACGTGTGTACCTTTGGTGAAGTTGACTTCAGGTGTGGATGGATCACCTAAACTCCTCTGGGAGCCTGTAATGCACAAAAATGCTCCTGCTGGGGAGGTTCTAGTGGCTGCAGAGCTCATTTTGAAGACCAAGGTATGGTTCTTCATGGAATTTGGGTAATTTTAACCATATTAAAGGGATAGTTCACCTAAAAATGAAAATTATGTAATTTACTTACCTCAACTTGTTCCAAACTTGTATGAGTTTCATTCTTCTGCTGAACACAAAAGAAGATATTTTGAAGAATGTTGATTACCAGAAAGTCGACAGTAGCTATTGACTTCCGTAGTATTTTTTCCTATGGAAGTCAATGTCTACCATCAACTTTCTGGTGAACAACATTCTTCAAAATATTTTCTTTTGTGTTCAACAGAAGAAAGACCCTTACCAGGGTCCCCGCGGGTCCTTAAAAAGTCTTGAAACGTCTTAAATAAAAAAAATTATTTTTAAGGTCTGAAAATGTCTTGAATTCTGGAATTTTCCATAAGGAGGTCTTAAATTTCATGTGCGATCTTAAATTTCATGTCCGACTCGTCATTTTAATTTATTTTTTCAACCGCAATTTGACCAGCGCAACATTTGGGGGCAGCACTTCGTGGGTGCAAGTTGCGTGCAACCTGCATCATTCCATAGGTGACATACGAGTAAGTGATTGATGAGTGCGTTGCGTTGATGGTTCGCCACCACGGCATTTTGCGAAATCGCAAGCATGGGCAAATGTGTGTTCAATGACAATTGGTTGGAGGACGAAAAGTATCGGGGGTGGCTGAAGAAAACAGCCAGTAATCATGAAGCGAGGTGTGCTTTATGTAAAAAGACAATACAGCTGGGGTCAATGGGCCACATAGCGCTCGATTCACACATGAAAGCAGAGAAGCACAAGAAGTATGTGTCGTCGCAGGCAAGTAGTTTGCCCATAAGTATGTTCTCATCGAGCACTTCAACCTCTCAGCCTTCCACAAGGCCGTCCACTTCAAGCAATGCCTTCGGCAGCTTTGCGAATGTAGCTACACTTAAAGCCGAAATACTGTGGGTATTTCAAACCGTAAGCCGCCACCACTCGTACACCTCAAATGAGGACATCCACCTAGTTTTTCAAGCGATGTTCCCTGACTCAGAGTGTGCGAGTACGTTCACGTGTGGAAGGGACAAAACCGCATATTTAGCACGATTTGGTGTTGCCCCATACCTAAAGAAGGAACTAATTTCACGGGCAAACAAGGACGCTTTCATCATAATGTTCGATGAGTCCATGAACACAACAACGAAAACGAAACAGTTGGACTTACACGTCAGACATTGGTCAACCGACGAGACCGGGACCCCGATTGTCAGGTCTCGCTATCTTGATTCGCAGTTTTTGGGCCACTCAACGGCAGAAGACTTGCTGGAGCATTTTAAGGTAAGACTATGAAAGTAACATTTAAAATGCTTTGAATATGTTAAAATGCTTTGTGTGTTTTCATGTTATTTCCTAATGAATATTTGGGACAATATATCGATTCATTGCGAATCTTGGATTGATTTAAATTTTTTCCTAATGCATTGCGAATTGATTCTGAGCTTAGTTTTTGCAGATGGCGCTCTAGGCTAGTTTTTAACCGCGCACTCAAATGCTCACAAAGAAGAGCGTTTGTGCGTTCGGCTGAGTCTGAGAATGTACTTGATGCTTTTTAAAACAGCCCACTGCAAACACCCTTGTACTTCGCTTCAACCTTTTCGATCTTCATGAATTATTATTTTATTGTAGGTTAAATCATAAAAGGGGTGGTGATGGTGCAATGGATAAGACAAATGCCTGGTGTGAGAGATCCGGTTTTCTCTCCACTGTGAGACACCAATGTGTCCCTGAGCAAGACACTTAGTTGCTCCAGAGGCGTGCGACCTCTGACATGTATAGCAATTGTAAGTCGCTTTGGATAAAAGCGTCAGCTAAATGAATAAATGTAAATGTAAAGCACGCAGTGCCATCTGCTGTTGAAAACTAAACTCAGAATCGATTCGAGCGAGAATCGTGATGTATTCAGAAAAATTCGAATGATCCAGAATAATTTGTCGATTCACGATGCATCGATATATTGTCCCAGCCAATCAGTTAAAAAAATGTTGTGGGTGGGTGACATCTAGGCATGCCTACTGCATTCTGGATGGAAGGCAGTGCTGTAAATAACTTTATTGTATAAAGCATTCAATATGCATTATGCTTCTTGCATATTTTTTATGTGAAAAGTAAAATTGAATTTAATTAAATAATGTAGGCCAGTTCACAATTAGACTCCAAATATCTGTTTTGTGCTTCTCAATTTTAGGTTAACAATGTTGACACTGAACCATATCACATAGGCCCAATTTGCAAGCATTCACTATTATGGCTTAAGATGTGTTTCTCAAACTTTTTTTCAAACCAAGGACCACTTAGCCAATTAAAAAAAAAACAATCTTGACATATTTGGATTAATGATCATCCCTATGCATGTAAAAATGCAGGCCATTTTAGTCTGAAACCATGGCTAACTTCACCTGCTAATAATGTGCATGATTAGAAAACAAGTCATGAGAAGTGAATTGGAAATGATCAACAGTGTCACAGTCCATGTCAGTCATTTTTTTTGATGACTTTTGGTCACAGACCTCTTTGGTAATCTGGCATACCACCAGTGGTCCCCAGACCACAGTTTGAGAATCATTACTTTAGACAAACCATCTAATCTGAGTGAACATGAATGAAAATGTTATCATTCTTTAGCCGAGGTGAACTGTGTTTTGATTTTATTTTTTTATAATTTCAGAAGGGCACCAAGGAACTTAATTTAAGGAACATGCTTTCCGTTTCAATGGATGGACCCGCAGTAAATTGGAAATTCATGGATCTCCTACAACTGGAACATGCAGAACAGTTTGGGGGGATTCAACTCCAAGTGGTAGGAAGCTGTGGTATCCACACCCTACACAATTCATTTAAAGGTGGATTTGAGGTGTGGCATGTAGAAAAGGTGCTGAGATCTCTCCACTATCTCTTCAATAATGCCCCAGCAAGAAGAGAGGATTTCACATCTGCAACACAGTCATCCACATTCCCCTTATCCTTCTGTGGCCATCGTTGGCTTGAAAATGTGCCTGCTGCAGAGAGGGCGATTGAAATTTGGCCCTCTATTGAGAAGTTTGTTGACCAAGTGTCAACAAAGAAGGTGAAGAACCCAGGAAATGCATCATTCGACACCCTCTCTGAGGCAAGAAAGGATCCTCTTATCTGTGCCAAACTCCACTTCTTTGTGTTCATAGCAAGAGTCTTTCAACCATTTCTGGAAAAATATCAAAAAGATGCTCCCATGATGCCCTTCCTTTGGAATGACTTGGAGGATTTGATAAGGGTAATTATTTGTCATAATGCGCAACACCTTTAGTACACAGAAATTCACTGATCTAACTCAAATATTTATTTTTTTATTTTACTAGAGCCTTCTCAAACGATTCATGAAGCGCGATGCTTTGCCCTCGAGTCCATATAAGCTGGTGAGGCTCGATGTCACAGACCAGAAGCTTTGGCTTGGCACAAAAGATGTTGACATTGGCATGGGTGCAGCAGCTGTTATCAAGGTGGGTATATTCAGTTTCATCAAAGTAGTTCACAATGACATGTAGATGTTAACATTGACTCTGTGTGTGCGTGTGTGTGTGTGTGTGTGTGTGTGTGTGGAGAGGCATGTTCTGAAAAGGGGCGCCATTAATATCAGTGTATTATGCTTAAATATTGCAGACTATGTAGAGGGACAGAAATGTTGTAGATTTGACAAACCAATGTTTTTTTTTCTGTCAGGGACTGTCAGGGGCCAAGGGCAGGGTAAGCGAGCTTGGTGTGCTGCAGTTTAAAAAAGAATGCCAGAATGCGCTTTCAAAAATATGCAAGAAGGCACTGGATAAGTGCCCTCTAAAATATGCCACTGTCCATAACATGATGTGCCTGGACCCAAGAAAAATGTATTCCAGCCCTGACGAATGCCTACAGAAACTGAAACGCCTCATTGAGAAGTTTGTGCTGGACAAACAGTTGACAGGCGGGATATCTTCTGGTAAATTATAGGAATAAGAATAGAATAGCACTCACTGTTCACACACTTCCTTCCATTTGTATCAGTCAAGACCAATACCCATAACCCTGTAACATTAAATTCAACATGTATTCCCATTTCTGTGTACATATTTGATACTATTCACTGACCTCAAATGATCAGGAGGTAAAGTTATGTAGTCTACTATTTAAACAGGCCATTCCACACAAAAAACTACACTTGTTTGTTTTTTTTTCGTGTGTTTTTAAAAAAAATTGGACAGGTTGGCATGACTTCAGTGCAAACCAATGAGCTGCAGAACCCAGGCATTTTTCTTTGTAAAAATATTACTCATGGAAGGGATTAACAGAAAATTTATGGAATGAGTGTGGATTGTTCTCTTTAAAAAACGCAACTTTGCCTTTTATGTTGTGATACTAATTTTTTATTCACACTGGCTCTCCTTTGTGCATTATTACAGGTGATGTGATTTCTCAACAGTTTGAGAAGGCCCTTTCCAATGAGGCCAAATCGCTGGAATTTGCAAACTTCCAGCCCTCAGTGTCCAGGGTTGATACATTCCTGTCTCAGAATCTCAGTTCCTACACTGATCTGTGGAACTTCTGCAAGAAGTTACTACTCCTCTCACATGGACAAGCTGAAGTGGAGCGGGGCTTCTCCATCAATAAAGAGGTGGAGACGTGCAACATGTCTGAGGAGACAGTTGTTATTCAAAGGCTCATCTGTGATCAAGTGAATGTTTGTGGCGGGGTGACACAAGTGCCTATTACAAAAGAGCTAATCAGTTACTGTGCCTCAGCACGGAGCCGTTACCGCGCACACTTGGAAGAGGAAAAAAAGAAGAGAGAGACAGAAGAAAACTCCAAGAAAAGAAAGTATGTCGAAGAGGACCTGAAAGAGCTAAAGCAAAAGAAAAAATCAATTCGAGAAATTTGCATATCTTTGGAGAATGATGCAGATAGAATGGCAGAGCAAGCCGAAAGTTCAGGTGGTAGTAAAATGGCCACATTGATCACAGAATCCAATTCTTTGAGGAGAAGAGCTAAAGAAAAACATAAAGAACTAATTGAGTTGGATGCAGAAATTGAAAACAAGACTGTAGAATTGACAAAACTGTCATGAGGGCTTTGATTTGAGAACTTAAAAGTTGAAGGTTTACATGTACCTTTAGTGATTTATTTGTATTATTTGCTGAATGTTACTGTCTGGGCCTAGAAAATCAGTTCCTTTTATGTTTGATCAGCACTGTGGCTTTATAGGGAAGTCCGAAGCTGTTTCTCTATTTGTCATCCCATGCAAGCATGACTGTTTTCATGCTATTCTGTTTGTATACTGTTATATTGGAAGTTTGATGCACAGTACTGAAAGTAGTTGCTGAACAAAGCACTTTAAAATAAATTTCTGATCCTGATCTTTCCTACAATTATCTGACTGGATCTTCATTCATTAGGTCTATGCATAGATTATTGAATGTGCTTGCATTTATCTGTGTCTGAAATGATATGGAAAACACTATCAGACCCTGAAAAAAATGTTCTTGGGGGAGAACCCCCAAACCCAGCTCAAGGCTTTTTGGCAGCCACATTTACCCATAATTTAGATCAAGTATGACGAATACTTTAACTTTTGTGTATTTGTGGGCTTTTGTAATGTCCTGGGGCTGTCTTCCATGTCTTTTTCAAACTGCTGTGAGGGGCCAGAATTTAGAAATTACCTGAAGTACCTTAAAGTTATAAGGTGAATCAGCACTTGGTATAAACGTTTTCGCGTCTCTTTGACCAGTCTTGAGCGTGGCTCTGGTGAGTTGTACCACAACACATCATTCTGTGTTGTTGCGCTGAACATTTTCCTGTTTTTTTTTTTGTTGAGGTAAAGTCTTAAATTTTCCTTTTAGAGGACTTAAAAAGGTCTTAAAAGTTATTAAATTTGCTGTTAAAAAATGTGCAGATACCCTGCTTACGCTGTTCCAAACCTGCATGAGTTTGAGTAAATGATGACAGAATTTAAATTTTTGGGTTAACTATCTCTTTTTTATGACTGCTCTGTGGTTCAAATAAAAGTCTACTTGATAATTCCTATGTTGTCTACTCTAGGGAAATGACACTGAACTTCCCCTTGCTCCTGCTAAACGAGGAGAGAAGCTCTATATGGTTCCTCAAGGGGTGCGACCGGTGGTGCAGCTCACTGCCATAGAGGTCAGTTTCATCTCCACGGGTTATGTCCTTTTTGGGAGTTGTTTAAAAGGGGTCATATCATGCCAAATCTATTTCCTTAATAGATCGAGATAATGCACTATTATAGCTTCCTCTCCAGTCCACAAAATATCATTTATTGAATTAAAACATGCACACAAACACCAATATTTACACAATGATGTTTTATATTTGCAGGTTCTAGCATGGGGTTTGCGTAACATGAAGACGTATCAGCTGGCTCCGGTTACTTCACCCAGTCTGGTGGTGGAGTGCGGAGGAGAGAGAGTTCTGACAGCTGTCATCAAGAACATAAAGAAGTGCCCTAATTTCCAAGGAAATGTCCTCTTTTTAAAAGTGGTGAGCATCCATCTCTACCTGTTGAGAAAAGGCATAGTAATTCTTTCAAATAACATTTTTCCTTGCTTTGCATTAGACAGCAAAATATCAATGACATTCAATTACATTTAAATGTGGTTTAATCTTCCAAATGCTTTTTTGAGCCCATAGACCATATGCGATCAGCGTCTTGTTTTGTATCTTTAGCTTCTACCCAAAGAAGAGATGTATGCTCCCCCTATAGTGCTGAAAGTCATCGACCACAGACCCTTTGGAAGGAAGCCTGTGGTGGGTCAGTGCACGATAAGTTCCCTGGAAGAGTTTCGATGTGACCCTTATGCCACAGTAGCTGAAGTTGCCATGTCTTCAAAAAGTACGTCCCCTTCACACTTTTCGGTTTACTGATTTATCTTTTTTTTGTATTGATATTCTTAAAACATTATGTAAGTTAGGTCACCTTTTGTTTTTTAAACTTTGGCAATTAATTCAGTCCAAACTTCATTCAAAATGTGTTATTTCTTAAGCAGGTATCTTCTGCCTATATATATATATATATAATTAATTGATTTTGTCTCTCCAAAATTTGTGTACAGCCTTCAGGAAATTTGAAAGAATATTTATCAGCATTCTTACTTTTTTCTTTTCTTTTTTGTCTCCTTTTTTTTTTCTTCTTCTCTTTTCCTGCAGTGTCTTTGATGGCAGCTGGTCCAAGAGACCTCCATGTAAACATTGATGATGACAGACAGCAACTTCTAGAAGCTCAGGTACTGGTACCACGTCACTTGGCTTAGTAGGTTTAGGAACTGGAAGGGTTAGTTCACCCAAAAAGAAATTCTGTCATTAATTACTCATCCTCGTGTCGTTCCAAACCCAACTTTCTTTCATCTTCTGAGCACAAATGAGGATATTTTTAATGAAATCTGAGAGCTTTCTGTCCTTCCATTGGCAGCTATGCAACGACGACCGCAACGTTATCGTAAAACTAATCCATATGAATTGAGTGATTTAGTCCAAATTTTCTAAAGGGACACAATCGATTTATATGCTGAACATATTTAATTTAGTCTTTTATTTACACAAACATTCATCAACTCACACATCCGTTGTGGTAAACGGAAGCTTAAAGGGGTCATATAATGGTACATGCACTTTTACAAGTTGATCGTACTGAAATGTGTGTTGGCAGTGTCTGTACACAACCATCATATAATGATAAAAATCCATCCAGTGTTTTTGTTTTAATCTCCTTATATGTTTGCCTCAAATCAAGCCGTTCGAGCCTGTGACATCACAAGCTCGCACGCCCCTCCCACGATTGTTGAATGACAGCACCGTTTCAACACAGACCCGCCCTCGCGTGCGAGAGCTGTCAATCATAGTCTGCGCGGTCATTGTTGATATGCTGGAGCACTGTCTATGAGCAGAATGGCGTCTAAGCGATTGTGGTGTTCTGTTCTTGGGTGTAATAAGGAACCCAGCAGTCATTTTAATGTTTCTAAATCCAAACCGCTGAAGACGCAGTGGCTGAGTTTGTTTTCGAAGGGAATATTCCGCACGAGCAACGTCAATGCTTTCATGTTTGCGCGAATCATTTCTCACACCAGACTGCTTTATAAACGAGGAGGGTCAGTATAAAGCTGCTTTTGCTAAGCAGCTGAAAAAGGATCGGTACCAGCTATTCGTGTTCCTGCTGAAGCTGAACCTTTAGAACAACTGAAGTGAGTGTAACGTTTTATTAAACTTTATATTAATATTTATATTAATCTTTGCAAATCGCTAGCTGCACGCTTCACAATGAATGTGTCTAAGGTTTACACTCAGGGTACATTACGGCATGTTTTCTATGTACGATATTCTCAATATAATTCATAATCCCACGTTTATACTGAACAACGCGTTATGGTTATTGTGTTATTGTGTTACACACGGTGTACACACAGAACAGAGAGGCGGGGTGAGCAAAGCTCATTATCATTTAAAGTCATATGCACTGAAACGGCGTGCTGAAAACAGAGCTGTTTTTGACCAGGTAAAATAAGTGTTTTCTTACTATACTAATGAGAATTTTTAATTAAAGTATATTACAAACTTTTAATTTAGACCCTAAAGAATCATACTAGCTTGTACAAAAATGGCATTATATGACCCCTTTAAAGGGGAATTCGGTAACTCTAGCCACTTATTCGCTGATTTTCACTTTTCTTGTCGCATGTTTTCTCAACGAGCTCCCCCTACAGCTGTGGTGTGAATATTTCACAACACTGTCGTAAATTCACTTGCGGCGTCCTCCTCCCCTTTCTACCGTAGACGCGCTCATGTGCTTTTGTTATTGTCGGATCCGGTGTGTTGAACAAATGAGTCCCCAAAGCAGTTCGTGTTACTCGCTCTTTCTCGCTCGTTCTCGCTTCTCACGAGACTTCCTATTTCCAACTTACCGGGACGGTAGTCCCTATGTTGCAAGGCTGGTTTTCCGCCTGGGAACGCTAGGGGGAGCGGGAAAAGTCACCATTCTCACCAGAACAGGTTATTTAAACATCCAAATGATTTCTAAATGGATTTATTAAGTTAAAAAAGTTGCCAAGTGCTGCTTTAAGGATGTTCGCTTGACGTGCAGCGCGAGAACCAATTAGATTCATTCTCATGTGTTACGCAACATGTTTGAGCTTCTGCAAATACCAATGAGGTTTGTTCTCACAAAGCAAGTATGGTTGAGCTTCTGTTTGTTCGCTGAATCGCTGATCAATGTTTATATGGGAATGAAAAGGTATATCTGTTCATCATATAAACTGCTCGATTCATATGGATTAGTTTTACTCTTTATGAATCTCTTTATGAATCTCTTTATGAATTTCTTGAAGTGAAAAAAATGGTAGATGCGTGGACTGTCAATGGAGGGTAAGAAAGCTCTCCGATTTCACTAAAAAAGTTTGTGTTCCGAAGTTGAATGAAAGTCTGATTGGTTTGGAACCGCATTAGGGATGGCAAATACCGACGTAATTTTCATTCATGGGTGAATGATCCCTTTTCAATGTTTTTTTCTTAGAAATGCATCTGAAAAACAGGGTAGTCTTATATTCATGGTGTAGACCAGGGGTGCCGAACATCGGTCCTGGAGGGCCACTGTCCTGCAGAGCTTTTCTCCAACCTTGATAAAACTCACCTGCCTGTAGCTTTATGGTAACCCTTAAGACATTGATGTGCACCTGACCTTCAGTTGTGTTTGATTTAGGGTTGGAGCAAAACTCTGCAGGACTGTGGCTCTCTAGGACCGACGTTCGCTACCCCTGGTATTATTTTACATGTAAATAATACACCTGCAAAAGGTGACGCCAAATATGCGTAAAACGAGTGTGCCAGCATACGGTGTCAGTGTGAAATGTTAGAAGATCGCGAGTGCAAAAAAAAAGACCGTCTTATAAAAACAAACAGTCAAAGAAAGCTTAGTCTCAGGACTGACATGTTAGTATGCCTCGCTGACGGGACCAAAATTCCCTCGTACGTGACTTTAAAATGTAATAGGCTACGGTACCCCTGATTTCAACTTTACTACAATAAGATTTTACTTTTGGTAGGCTACATGGTTTCACTATGAGATGGATAGCCTAATTGTTCTATAATTCAGATGGGCTAAAGGTTATTTTTACGTAGGGTTGCCAACTCTCCCGTATTAGCCGGGACGTCTCGTATATTGGGCCTAATTTATTTGTCCCGTGGCGTACGTGACCTTCCTTGTCCTGTTTATGGACTGCTACACTGATCTAACTGACTGATACAACAGCAACACAACACTTGAGAATGATCAAGACATCCAATCATAGCCCACCCTCATATGCGCATCAGACCATACGAATAACAAACTCTAAATTGAGAATGAATCATTCTTTTGGGACAAATCATTGTTTGATTTGCGAACAGAATCCTCTGCTGTCTGGTCGCTCCCGGTTCGATCCAGACTCGCTCTAACAGCAAATCCCTTTCACTGTCAAGGTTTTGATTTCGGCAAATCATTTCATTTTAGAATTAAATAGAAATAAACACATTTGTTTTGCTTAACCTATTTATGTACAGAGAACCTTTTTTACACACACTTAACTGCAGACACTGAAATGACAAACACTGTGTGATACGGTACAAATATTTTGGGTATCCCTTATTTTCCTATAAAGAACCACGATTTTTCCGTATTTTCCTTTTCTGAAGTTGGCAACCCTAATTTTATGGTATGCCAAAGTGTTTCTTTTTAAATGTGATTGTTGGTACATTTTACCAGTATTTACTATACTTTCAATACAACAATTAAAATATGAAAAATATGCAGTATGAAAATTATTTTCAAATAAAAGCATTTTCTTTATTAAAAAGCCTTTTTTCAAAAAGTACATCTTGAAAAAGTGCGGGTATTTTCGGAACATTACGGTAATGGTAGTACACACATCTGTATGAATCTATTTTTAACTTTGTGAATTTCAGTATATTTATGGCATCTCAGCTGCTGTTGACAAAATGGGCACTGCTAGTCCACTTCAAGTATGTATAGTAATAAGGCTCTTCAATCAAAATGCCTGAATTTTGTAATTACTGTAAATGTATTTCAGAGTGTGTGTGAAGTGTGTAATTTCTGCATTACGGTACCAAACTGATGCCATTGTGGTTGAGCCAGTCAGTGTTATGTCTGGCCTGGTCAGACTGATCACAGAACAGATTGCAATTCTGTTTGGTGCCACTAGAGGCACTGAAATTACATTCTTCAACACCAACACTTAAAGTCCCCCTGTAGTCAATAATTTTATCCCTTAAAACTAATTTTGGATCACCAAAATGACATATTTAAAAGTTTTTTTCTTGAAAAAAAAAAATTCTTCATGCCATTACTTAGCTAGAATGTAACGCTACCCTTGATTCATTTAGTATACGCAATTCTATGAATATGCAAATTAGCCCCACCTCCACTCACTCACACCAGCTCAGAGATCCTCTCTTGATGAACACACGTTGACGTGATTGGTTACAACATGTTGGCTACAACAGCATGTGAGCAGAACAGGTGATTTCAAACTGTGTTTTTGAGACTGTCTTTGGTTCACTGCAGTTTTAAGGAGAAAATACTCAGCAACTGTGTTGACTGATGAATTTGCACATGGTTTGTCTTAAAGCATATTAAAAACATATAAACAACATTTAAAAGCTTGATTTTCAACACACGGGGACTTTAAGTTTACCTCATACCTCCTGCTCAGGCTGATTGTGTGAATCTTCTGTAGTTAGAAATGGGTTAAATTGAGGGAATCTCTAATCAATATGTTGTGCTCAGAATGATCAATCTCATTTCCCGTTCAGCTGACCTTTTATACATGAAATCATACTAAATTACATTGAAGTGTGTGGTTTTTCACATTCAGTTTCTCTACTACCTTTCTGAATTCAACATTTAATACATTTTTTTTTGTCATATTTGCTTGTCTGCATTCAATTAACTAACTGTATCCTATTGATTAATTTAAAATTAACTCCCTTGTGTGTACTAAAGGTATTTAATAATGGAGGAAAGTATTAAATAAACTTGACCAGTGTATACATTTGTCAATTTGTGTTGTAAACTTTTATTAAATTAACATTCAGCACTTGAAATGCTAGTATAATTTGTTCCTTTTTCTTATATTTGTTGTTGTATACTTGTTACACTGGTAAAGTTGCAATTAGACTGAAACCTTACATATATGTAAAAGCCTAATAATATTCCATCTTAACAAATCTTAACATTGTTCTCTCTCTCTCTCTCTCTCTCTGTCTCTGTCTGTCTCTCTCTCTCTCTCTCTCTCTCTCTCTCTCTCTCGCTCTCTCTCTCGCTCTCTCTGTCTGTGCGCATTTCCTGGTGTTTCAACAGCGTGAGAAGGTAAGTTCTGTGACAAGTTTACACACTTTCCAATTAACAAAAGTTTGATAAGTTGATAATTATGATCATATCTCTATTAGCTCTATCATGACAATGAAACTGTCCATTTTATTAACCTTACAGGAGAAAGAGACTGTTGATTGGTGGAGTAAGTTTTATGCTTCTGTTGGACAGAGTGAGAAATGCCGCCCATACCTTGACAAAGGTTATGACACATTAGAAGTGAGTCCTGTCTAGCTCAACAATGTAGATATGAATATTTAATGTTACATTTAATAAATTACTAAATATCTTTATAGATTTAAGGTTAAGGTATTCTTCTCAAGCTGTACATTTGCTGTGTGAGGAATAGATATTTTCGTTATTCTATTGTCATTCCATTTGATTTTCGAAGGCGTTATTCACTGGAGATCACCCGCCCTGGCTTTCCTTTGTGCGTTCATGAATGCTCCTGAGAAGTACAGATGTCTGATTTGTGAACCAGATTTTTCTTTTGAATCTGATCTTTTGAATGAATGAGTTGGTCCAGTTCTCTCAACCTAGACTAATTAAGTTAACTGATTTAGTGATCTGGATGAGCGGTTAACAACGGTTTACAGATTTTCCCTGAATAACAACTTCAATTTTGGTGTGTTCCTTACACAAATCTATTGTATGACTTTAGAATACTTAGATCCGCAAAGGTGAATTTTTACTGGAGTTCTTGTATTGTTTAGTAATTGTAACAATGTACTTGTTTTGTTGGTTTTCATAGGTTTATGACTATGAGCTTGAAAGTGTAAATGAATTCATGGGTCTTACCGATTTCTGCAAAACATTCAAATTGCAACGTGGGAAAAAGGAAAATGACGATGATGATCCCGCTGTAGTTGGAGAATTCAAGGCAAGATGTTTTATTAATTTGGTCTACAAATGAATGGATTTGGTACTATTACATGCTACAATGTTTGATTTTTTTGGGAATATTCTGTGTCAATTGGAAATGTCACATTATAGAATTAAAATGGGTTGAAAACAGCATTTCAAGTTCTTGGTTGTGTAAAATGTTATTAATGTTCAGTGTCACATGAACCTTCATAAATCATTCTAATATGCTGAGGCTAATTCTAATCTTTCCAATTGCTTGTTTTCAGGGCTCCTTTAAGGTCTACCCATTGCCAGATGATCCAGGGGTGGCTCCTCCGCCACGTCAGTTCAGAGAGCTGCCCGACAGCGTCTCTCAGGAGTGTGTGGTCAGAATCTACGTGGTTCAAGCCATCGACCTGCAACCCAAAGACAACAATGGCAAAGTACTTTTCACCGTCTAGCATTTTAGAAAACTAATTTTGAGTTTCAGTTACTCAGTCACCATTCTCACCATGACTCACAGTCCAATTTGTTGAATTCCTTCTAAGTAAAAAGAAAAAGCAACGTTCCTTTTCTTTTTCAGTGTGACCCATACATCAAAATCTCTTTGGGGAAAAAGTCTATTGATGACAGAGACAACTATGTGCCGTATGCACTCAACCCAGTGTTTGGCAGGTAATGAATGCCATAGTCTGAATGCTCGATAAACTCTCAATAAATCTGTCAAACTGTTGAAGAGGACTGACCTATAACCCTTTTCTGTTCTCTCAACAGAATGTTTGAAATGACATGCTTCCTCCCACAAGACAAAGACCTGAAAATTGCCGTCTATGACTTTGATTTGCTCACCCGTGATGAGAAAGTTGGGGAGACAGTGATTGACTTGGAAAACCGCTTCCTTTCTCACTTCGGTTCCTACTGTGGTTTACCCCAGACGTACTGCATGTGAGACCCATACAATTTACTTAACGCAAACTCAGTATTTTCATTGAGGACAACAGTAAAGACATTAGTTAACTAATGTATTATTCATTAAATAGTTCTGGATTAAACCAGTGGCGTGATCAGCTCAAACCATCTCAGATTCTTGAACATCATGCCCGTTTGAAAGGATTGAGTCGACCCAGGAGTGAAGACAATGGAAACACGTTATCCTTTGGTGGCCGATTGTATTCCCTCTCTGACTTTGGTGATTTTAAAAGCTATTTGTTATTTTTTACACCATTATGATGGCTTGACAAACTGTTAATGTGTTCTATTATAAAAGCTGTTTGATCGTTTTAGTCAATGCCTATGTCAAGCCAACTTTCAAAGCTGTCTAGTTATACCTTATATGTATGCATTTTAGAAGCGAACAAGAAAATTCACGAACACCTGGGTCCGCCAAGTGAACGGATCGCTCTGCACGTCCTCAGAACTCAAGGCCTTGTTCCGGAGCATGTTGAAACCAGAACTCTCTTAAGTAGCTTCCAACCGACTCTCCCGCAGGTGTGAAGCAGCTTACTTGCTGGTTCTTCCTGTGATATACTTTATAGACCCCTTTTTGTTTGAAAGCAAGCTCAAAACACTGCTTTATCTGTTTTATAGGGAAAACTCCAGATGTGGGTTGACATTTTCCCCAAAAGCCTTGGGTCTCCTGGACCTCCTTTTGACATATCTCCACGCAAAGCAAAAAAGTGAGAAGAAATCGGTACTTTCAGTTCAGTTTTATGTTTATCGACGATAGACTCATGTTGAATCTTTTTATCAGATACTTTCTGCGAGTCATCGTCTGGAACACGTCTGACGTAGTTTTGGATGAAACCAGCATTACTGGTGAAAATATGAGTGACGTCTATGTAAAGGGGTATGTAAAATAATCTTTGCTGTCTCTTAAGGCAAGACACTACTGACAAAACAAGTTTTGTTTTTGAGATTTTAGGTTATTTTGCTTTCATAAGATGTTATTTCAGACTAGTGGAAAGAAAACAAAAAAACAACACACTTAAATGTGTATTTTGAATGTTTGTTTGTTTTTTACACTTTAAAAAATATAGAAGTCTTTCTGCAGATTTCAATAACAGTACATATCTTTAAAAAACTTTTTTCTCAAAATGTGTTTTTCTCATACAATGAGCCAGAAATCTCCACTTCAGTAGCACTTACATACACACAACTTTTACCTATCTATATACCGAAGGTTTTTACAGAGGGTTTTGTTCATATATCATTCCCCTGATTTATTTAACATTTATTTCCTTAAAACATAGTTACTTTCAACAGCCATAATTTAAAAAAAAATCACCATTTTCTGATTTATGGAATGATAAAGAGATATTAAAGATTTTTAGGTAGGGGATATTGTCAACAAAATGAAACAAACATTTTGAACCTGGCTTCATCTTCTGTTATGGAAATGTAGGCGAATGAGTTCATATTTATAAAGATAGTCTCATTTGCATATTCAAACACAATGTTTCAGAAAACTTGTCTTAATGTACTATGATTAATGGATATCCCCATATTTCCCTGATTGATAGGTTACATTTCTAGCCTTATTCACTTGGTGTCTTTCTTTGAAGTGCCCCATTGTGCTATTTGAAAGATTCCTAATTTTGTTTTGGAGGTCTCCTACAATAGGTTTACATGCATCCAAGCTCAAAAAACACTTTAATTTTCTCAATATACATTGCAGCATCATCTCTTTTCTCACAGCGCCTGAAATGGTTTGATCAAGGTTTCTGTTTCTCTAAACCCCTCCAAAGCGAGAGCATACTCTGCTCTGAATGGTCAGATTTTTTTACAGTATCAATTCGAACCAGAGTCCTCATCCTTCGCAAGTGGATTTGCTTTCGTAGCGCAGAACAGTGTCTTCTCTACATGTCGGCAACACGAAACAAACTCTTCCAGGCCTACGCTTCAACTACAGTGTTTGAGGGCGAGTAAAATTAGACTGTTCTCGGGCAGCCATAATGCAAATTTGTTACAAGCCTGAAACCTGCGTAGGTTCGAGCAGGAAGTTAGACTGGAATTGCTAATTACTCGTTTCAGGCAAATCAGAGCAGATTCTGTCTTTTTGGAGACTAGAACTATCTACACTTTGATCTTTGATATTTTGCAAAACCTTTTACATTAACAAACGGCTATATTATTCACTACATGAAAGGTAATATCCAAAAAAGCCTAATGGGGCACTTTAATCTGTTTTACGAATACATTTTTCAATACATTCATGCATTTGTGTCTTTTGTTAGTTGGATGCCAGGTATGGAAGAAGAGAAGCAAAAAACAGACGTCCATTATCGCTCTTTGGATGGCGATGGAAATTTCAACTGGAGATTTGTCTATGGATTTGAATACCTGCCTGCGGAGCAGCTTTGTGTTGTATCTAAAAAGGTAATTTAGATTGGCTGTTTAAAATGTGTAATGAAAAGCACTGGGACGTATTGAAATATTCTCTTTCTTTTACAATAAAAAAGGAACATTTCTGGAACCTTGACAAATCAGAGTTTAGAATCCCGCCCAAGCTGATTGTTCAAATATGGGATAATGACAAATTCTCACTGGATGATTACCTAGGTGAGATGTCTGTATGCAGCTCCTTTCTGAGCTTTTGGGAATTTTATTTTTCTTTACATTTTTGGCTCCTCTTGTGTATTATATATCTTGTGTTACAGGTGCTATTGAACTTGATCTGCACCACCTCATCAACCCTTCCAAAACACCCGAGAAATGTAACCTTACCATGGTGCCGGATGGAACTACGGGTCCAAAATCAGACCAATTCAAGTCTCTTTTTGACCAGAAGACAGTTAGAGGATGGTGGCCATGCTACATGGATAAAGATGGGAAGAGGGAGCTTGGTGTAAGGGCAGCTAATGCAAACAATCGTCTCTGTGTGTTCCTGTATGGTGCAGTATGAGACACATTTTTCATGATCCAGTCAATTCCCAATGGATCTTGAATCCTCTTTATTTATTTATTTGTTTAGTGTATGTTCACCACTTTTCAACCCACTTTGTATTGTTCCAATGTTGGTAGTATATGTAAATGAACAATGTTTACTTTTCGTGTTATCTGGTCTGAGAAATTCACGTTTATTTGTAAGCAGATCTTTGACTTGACAACTCCAGGGCTTTCGTGAAAACTTCAGATTGTATTTAAGCATTTTTGTATCCCCGCCCACGGACATTTGGATCGTAAGAGACTTATTAACAAAAGTTATTGTAAGAATGGGTTCATCACTGAAAAATGTTATCGTACTTTGTCTACTCTTTACACAGCATTATGGAAAAATGGAAAACTATGCCAACAGATTTCTTACCTGTACGCAACAATATTTTGTTTCGGGGGAGTTGGGCAGAAGCTGCTCCCTGTTCCTTTTCTTCCAAATCAACTGACAGAACAAACATTTCTTTCAGTTTTTACCCCCTCCATTTGACCTAAAACACTGTGTTCAGAGTCATCCTGTTTGATATTGAGTCTACAAGCACGGATGTCAGATTTTCCGTTGTGGCGTTCTCTCCATATTTATGATTCTTTGCAGCTTTTAATGCTCTGGATCCTTCACTGGAAGTCAAAAATAACTCGCACCAATTAAACATTTAATTTGGATACTTGCACATTGCAAAATTACAAGTCAACACCATTGTTACTATAATTTTGCTAAAAAGTATCCCCTACTTAAGCAAGGCAGTATTTGACTCCAACTGTGTTCTTTTAATTGGTGCTTGTTTATGTGTTGTTTCAGGGAAAGGTGGAATTGACTTTGGAGATTGTGAATGAGAAGGAAGCAGATGAGAGACCTGCTGGAAAAGGCAGAGATGAGCCCAATATGAATCCGAAACTGGATCCTCCTAAGTAATTGAGTTCTCGCTTTATATATGTTTATTGTTCTGTGTGTTAACAGAAGATGACCTCAAGATTTGTTTTTCTTTTAAACCTCTCAGGCGACCCGAAACCTCGTTCTTTTGGTTCTCAAATCCATGCAAGACGTGCAAGTTCATAGTGTGGCGAAAGTTTAAGTGGATGTTCATCGGCCTGGTTGTGCTAGTCTTAGTGCTATTGTTCATTGGGATCTTGTTGTATTCATTACCAGTAAGGACATACTTCATCAATCCTTTCACAGAGGTTATGTTCGGACTTTTCACTTAAGATGTACAATGCCAATTAATTTATTTTTTGTTTTTTTCAGAACTACATCTCCATGAAAATCGTCAAACCCTTCAATTGAGTGCAGGAGGAGTTCAACTTTTTGTTTTTATCCATGTAATGTATTTGGCATGATCAGGGTTTCACACAGTGAAAGCAGTTAACAGAAATGGTTCATACAGACCATCAATACAGTGTTTGTTTTGTTGTGGTTGTTCATTTTTCATGTGGTTGTTTAGGTTTTTCCATTAATCACTCTTTTGCACCATTATTAGATTTTACCATGAATTTTCACTTTTTTGTTCAGGTTTCACTGATGTTTGGCAACATTTGTACACAAACCATGAAGTGTTTTCTATTGTGAAAATATTTTATTGTATTATATTCTCAGATCATTTTAAAGTTTATTGGTTAAAGTTATAAAATTGTTAAATAAAGACACAATAATATGTTTGTTTAAATTGTGTCCATTTGTTTTTGTGTAAATTTAAATTGTCCAAGTGTAAGTCTAATATTGGTACTGATATGCATGTATTCTGGGATTGCGAAATGATCAAAGCTTACTGGAAAGAAATTCATAGAACTGGTCAGAAGATTATTGGTAAATCTTTTGCCTTGTCGGAGTAGCCGATTTACACCTTGACCATGGCCTAGATGTGTGTTGCATTTTTGTACCTTTTTGACGAGGAAAAAAATTCAACTTTTGTTATGGTCCACTCATGTCCCTTCTGTTAAAATTTAGCTGTCAAGTTGCATCCCTTTTACTATTTGAAAACTAACTTGTTTTACACCAGAAGTCTAATAATTTCTGGCATATTTGGTCGTCTCTTTAGAATTTTCTTTGGATTGTATGTTGAATGCCTTTATCTCTTGATTAATGTTCATTCTGGCCCTACCGCCCTTTACTATACCTACCTATATAATATTTATTTTTTGTGCTATGTCCCTGTTCAGGTTCTTGATTTTTAATATTAATATCATGATACAGTTAATCAATATCTCACAAGTGCTGTTTTTCCAAACATCTGTATGATTAAAATGTGATGTTGAGTTTATAAAACAGTTCAATAAACAAGTTAATAGGGACTTACATTTTAGACTATTTATTCAGCTAGTGATAAAACTGAAATTTTGTTCTCATACATGATTACATGTTTTCCAAAAGCACTTTTCACTTTAAGTATAAACCCATTTAAATGAGGAAAAATAAACTGAATGCACCATGAAATGCATCTGACAGAGCAAAGTACCCTAGAAGAGTGCTTCTCAAACCTCTCCAGGGCCCAGCTGTTCAAAAGGTTTGATCAGGATTTGGAAATCCCATGTTTTGCTATCCAGGATCAGGTTATCCATCTTACTTTTGAGCAAAATGGGATCGGATCACCCTGATCCAGATGCACACTTTTTCAGATTACCAAATCTGGATTATTAGTGCTCTAAAATAGATCAAATATCACTTTGTAGACTACTAGCTATGTAAAAAAAAAAAAAAAGTATATTAGTCAAAGTGGGGTCACTTTAAATGTTTTTATTTGAAGAAACAAAACAATACAAACATCCCCTTCCTTTTTCACTTTAATTTCAACAGTCAGACCGTTCAGCTGACCCACAACAAACAAATATACACAAATTCATTGGAACATGCGACTTAAATCATAAAAAATGCTAAATGGCCAATAGTTAGAAAAATAATGTTTGGACCTCTTCGTTTGAAGAGAGTCCAGCGTTTTAGGAGTTGAATCTCAAGTCTTGCTTTGGTGTGCAGTAGTTGGGTAAGAGTGATGTGTTCCTCTGCCAGATGAATCTGTATTTCTGCTCTTTCGGATTCTCGTTTAACAAGTGATGTAGGCATCATCATCTTTGCTTGGGAAAGAACACTTCTGGCCTCTTTTCAGAGCTCATGTGGCAATAACTACTGGATCTACCAGTGAGGATCCACTTGGTTCCTCAACAGGACTGAGAGATCCAGAATAAATGCTCCTGCAATAGGAACTGTGTCACTTTCTTTTTCAGTCGTGGACTCACCATCCCCAACAACACCTTAAATCCATGCAGAGATTGTGAGTTTCTACCTCCACTAATGTCAAGAACCACATCTGTGTAATCACTTCTCCTTAAGGGCCTGTTTTGGTGCATTTTGCTTCAGCGTGGTCCAATGTTGCCCTGGCCTTCTTATTTTTCCATATAAATTGCCCTTGGTCTGTAGTTCTCTTCTGGCCACACACTATGGCATTCACTGTTTGGGTCATTTCATCTCAAATATTTTTTTGTTAGGCACTTCTCCACCCTTAGTAGAATTAAACTTCCTACTATTGAGGCATAACACCCTCCAGCAAGGCATGGGTTTCTGCAACTGGGAAAAGGTCCTTTTGAGACCATGCAACCATCTCTTTGGTGTGGTGAATGTAGATGTTTATTGGCCTTGGTCCTGATTGAGTGAAGTAAACACAAGCCAAAGCACATCAGGTAATTGATGTTTTCTGTTTGAAAAGACCAATCACACAGTTGTCTTACTCAGCCTTTCTCAGAGGACTTTCTCGGTCAGTCTTTCTCGGTTTTGCTTTGGGAATGCTGATATTAAGTACATTGCAGACCTTATCAGGCCCAAACTTCAACCTAGAACCCGAAGGAGTCTGTGGAAGAACAGGTCCTCGCTGCTCTGTGCTTCTAAAAATGGGACTTTCTACCAAGTTGTTGGTGACAATTTAGGAGTGAACAAATCAACTGTTAGTGATGTCATGACATATGTGTCAATCGCATTGGTGAGCCAAGTCAGTCAATTTGTTTAATTTCCAAAGGATGACCAGACGGCCCAGAGCAAGCACAAGCTTTATCTTAAAGAAAACATGCCTATTGGGGTTATTGACCACTGCACATACAAGTCAATCGAAAGGGAAGGCACAGCATAAACATCCATCTTGTGGGTGACGCTGTTGTGAAGTGACCTGGGTCTTTCCATTATGCCCGTATCCTGAGGGAGAGTGCTCTGTGCAGAGAGCTCCAAAACAGCAGACCGGATGGCATAATATAAGGAGAAAGTGCCTATCCACTCCTACCATGGCTGATGATTAACCATTTTCTTGCAGCAAACGCACCTGAGCAGGCATGCTTCAACACTGCTCATAGCTCATAGCAAAACAAGATGTACAACTGAGCACTTAAATGTAGTCCTCAAGAGGCGCTTTGCGTGTCTTAACCTGACTACTTGCGAGTGGAATCACAGGGAGCATTGCCTTATAGTTCTGACTGGAGGTGCAATAAGGGATGCAATTGTTAACAACTTTTGACTGGTTGATCTCTGATGATTGATTGTAATTAATATACTGTGACAAATGACAGTTCAAATTAAATATTTTACTTTGCTATTGACATCTGTTTAGGGGATTATTTATAGGGACAAAATCTTTTATTCAGGGGTGCAGGTATATGACGTCACTTTTTAGGCCAATCGGCAGTTAGCATCACACTGGCTCCCTCATCAAAAACCCAGTAGGATTTTTCCATATTTGGATTATCCCCAAAAACAAACTTACAAACTTACTTTACGTTTATGATACGTACATGTTTTATGCCATCACGATAATTTTCACAGATGAACACAACTTTTATGAATTTTGAAGCTTAAATGCAGTCGTCAGAAGTAAAAAGCTGAAGGTAGGCTATAAACGAACTGCACGGTCCCACAACTTCAACGTCACCACCACTAATATTCCTACAACTCTTTCAGTTTTTAACTAAACATTTTCCAAGAAAGTTTGAGTTAGGATAGTTTATAAGAGCACAATTATAAGCATAACGAGGCTGTAAAAGCAGATTGAGCTGACGCTCGGCGTGATGACGTTTAATCTCCCCGACAGACTCTGTAGTCTAAATTAAGCCAATTGTTAGCATTAGCAACCGCCTTTTTCAAGACACGTAACAACTTAAAAAAATCACGAGTGTCTGTGTCATATAATACAAATGTGAAAGTATCTTGAGCTTATGTTCACCACAGACCTTATTTCAGCCATTTAACCATAATAAAAAAAAAAAAAAACATTGACTTTGGAATGATGGAACTGGAAGTGCCAAAATGCTAACTCGCTTCCGCGTTTTGGCCTACAAAGTGACGTCATACCACTCTACTGGTAGCCCAGTGTGTTCTTTATACTTTATTAATATAAAGGTTAAACTAATCAAGAGCAAAACATTTTTGTATACTACACGATTACAAATTGTGTATTGTGTATTTTCGACTAATTTTAAAGTTTTATTATACATTACATATTACATTACTTATTTTTGTTGTTGAAATCCACCCTTCTGATGGGATCAGTATAATCCTGATTTTTATTTTATTTGATCAAAAGTCTCCCAATCTTGCTACAAAAAACACACACAAATTGACCATTTAATCCAGATCAAAACCAAGATTGGATTTTGTGATCTATTCCGATTTCAGAATCCTTTTTTTCTTTTGAACAACCTATGTTCAAGATTTGATCACAACCGGATAGCAATAATTCAATCAGATTAGTTTTGAACAACTGGCCCCAGGTCAGGTGCATCAGAGCAGGTTTCTCTTAATTTTGATATTTATTTCATTTGTAATTAAAAAACTTTTTTTTCTTTCTTAAATAACAGTACAAGCCCTCCTTAAGGGAAATGCTGGGGGAAAAGATACAAGTGGGTGTTAATATCTCATTATAAAATAGCCTTTGGTACAATTATGACCAAAGTATAGTAAAATGAAAATAAAATCCATAAATCAAAAATAATGGATATGTCATAATACAATAAAGCTATACAAATAAAGGCGCTGTATAAATAAAAAATTATATTAAATATATTACAATAAACATTATTATTATTATTAATAATAATAACTAATAATAAAAAGTCAAACGCTTGGCGGATATGACGTCGTTTCTCAAGGTCAAGTGCGTGACGTAATATTTAAATAGCCACCTGAGGTGTGATTAGAAAAACGATTCAACAGTTAGCGGCGCGACATCATACTGTAATGTGAAGCGAAGACGATCTAACGCACTAACGTTCAATGCTAAACTACAGTTCAGTTCTTATAACCTAGCTTTCCTATTTGATCTGAGAGAAAAATAACGACGCGTGAGCAGGTAAATTACTTAAGTTCTGTTTGAGCTGCTAACTGGCTAGTCAAACTCCGACAGGTGCTGTTGATTCAATATTTAACTTACCCAAAACTAGTTTTTCCTTTTCCGTTATATTTTCTCCATGGCGTTTGGTACGTTTATTGTGCGGTTTAACTAATCATCAGTGTGTGAAATGCTGTGTTTTAAGTTTAATGTTGGATGTATTGTTTGTCGTGTGTATATCAGTGTTTGTATTTGGCGGCGGAAGGCCGATGCTCCTCTCATTGGCTCGTTCAGTCGCTCTCTCTTGATGATGCCATATTTGAGCTGCTGGAGGGCAGGCGGCCACATATGGATTAAAATGGTTTAAC